TTGCCGGTTCACGAAAAAGTTAATTTGCATAATTAACTTAAATTTAAAAACTGAGGTAGAAATTTTTGAATATAAATTAAATAAGATATCGTCGTTCGCTTTGCAGGCCGAAAAAGTCTTTTAAAAACAGTCTGTTATTTGATAAATTTCGGGCGCTGTGAAATAAAATGGAAAAGATTGCCCAAATTATCATTTGTGCGTTAACATATACAATAAATAATAATAAAGATAACTAAATATTTTAACTGCGAAAAGGGATTATCCTGGATCTGTTGCTTTATTCTGAAAAACATATGCTAAAATAGCCATCCAGGGAGAAAGTAGGGAGAAGATTCGTAAACATTGGGTTTTATAAGGCGATTTCGGCATAAAAGGAAAATCGAATATTGCTTTTCTGTGTACAGCCGTCGAAGGTCCAAGTTTTTTTTCCTGTTTTGTGTAAGTGCTTTAAAATATCCCCGATTTTCGCTGAGCGATTCGTACTTTATTGGTTTTCAGTAACATGGTACTATACGTTCCACACGTTTATAGTTTTTAAAAGTGTACAGAATTTCCTAAAGGGGTGCAATATTTACATTACAGTTACCGAAAACAATTTTAGCTAAATCGTATCCACTTTGGAGTTCGAGATGAAACAATATATTTCATAAAATTGACAATTCACGCTTCTACTATTATATTTGTCCGAAACTATTCATAATTTGCAACATGCTAACTTGTTCTTCGAGCTGTTCGGACGATACGAAATTTCCTTAGTTAAATTTGTTATTACTTCAAATAAATAATACAAGCAGTTAAATTCAATTGGATTATATTTTATTAATTTGATCTTTCTTTATATTATTATTATATATATCATACATATATATATGGAATCCTGCATCCTACTGGAATCCTGCATCCGACTGGAATCCTGCAGACGTTTCGCCAAAATCTCACTTGGCATCTTCAATGCTCGCGCTTCGAAAACATTTCGAACACAGGGAGGTTATCGCCGGTGCGTGCGGTATTTATACCCTGCGCCGGAGATGGTAACGGTGCTGCTTGTGCAGGAGGGGAGATGGCTCCACCCCCCGAATCGTAGTTGCGATGTCCCCGTTGGCTGCTGCGTATCGCTCTGCTGTTTGATTATCGTTCTCCACGTATTGGATAAATGCAGAGCGTCTTCTCTCGTATTCAGGTGTCCGGACTTTTCTATCTCGATGGCCTCTGGTATAATGCTAGTCCTAAAATCTGGAATATTAGCTATTTGTTTGCAAGTACTGAAATCAATTTTATGGCCTGTCTAATGTTAGTGCTGAAACAAAGCCTGGCCTCGAGCCTGGCTGAAATCGTTCTGTTGGTCTGTCCCACATACGTCAGGCTGCACGATCCGCATGCTACACTGTATACTCCTTGGTTTTCCAGTATAGTATACAGTGCGCGAGCATTGAAGATGCCAAGTGAGATTTTGGCGAGACGTCTGCAGGATTCCAGTCGGATGCAGGATTCCAGTCGGAGTTCAACAGGCGAACGGATGATATCCCGGAATATAGTGTCATCACATATATATATATATATATATATATATATATATATATATATATATATATATATATATATATATATATATATATATATATATATATATATACAATACAATTTCTAAAGAATATTTCACAACATATTTTTGATAAATAGGTGCCTAAGCCTATCAAAGGAGTAAATATTAAAACGTACAAAACAAGAAAATGTAGATAACAAAAAAGACAATACAATACAATTTTAATATTTTCTTTTACTATTTTTAAATTTAGGTAATATTTGCAAAACGATTAATAAATTTAGGAGGTATCATTTGTGTTTATTCCTGGCACCAAATGTAAGAACGTCATATGAATTTTGACAGATTTTTGGTATCTACGTAAAAACAACTTGAAAAAATTAAAAACTACGTTTTACAATTTATAACTTTACACAAAAAGAAAAAGGAAAAAAAATATTTATCACACGTTTATAAGTTTGTTCTGTTACTCCTTTATTAAACACTCACTCGGCTGGGCTCAGCTCGTGACTAAAATATCGTTAGCAAAATTGTTGTATAATAGACCACTATATTTTCTAGTATCCTACGATTATAAACGTAAATAAATGCGAGGCGATGAGACCGGGATTTCTTTCTTTACGTTTTATCAATATGTGAAGAGACGGATTTTCCTAGATTTCAACAAGTTCCTTATACCATCTCGAGTTTCCGAGCACCTTCTTATCATATAGTTCTAAAAAATAAATCTTGATAATTTGGTGGATGCGCTGGTTGATCGAAAACGAAGGCGTCAACCGAAACGCTGTCACTTTGCTTACGCGAATAATCCTTTATACCTGGAACATTCGCAAGTCTTCTTAAAAAATCTGCACTGTGTATGGAGTCGGAAGTAAATGATATGTGCAATACCTCGAAGGCAATAAAACTAAAAAATTTAAATATAAAATTCTTTATAAAACAATTACTAAAATACATAGACACAAAGCTCTCTCAGCCTGTTAACTTACGTACGCAGTTAAAACATTAAACGAACAGAACTAACCTTAAATACTTATTTGTTTTATAAAAGGAAATGAAATTCAAAAATGTGAATGCGCAGCAATAACTAAAGTGTCCTGAATCACCCGAACCTTCTCTACGGTCCGCTGAGTGTTACCATACAATTAATAGAGTACTAAATTATCCAGTGATGGAAACTGTTTCTTGAAATTAATGTTCCAATTGTTATTGTAAATATTTTACGTGAACATTTTGGTAGGGCTAAAAGTAATTCTTTTCTCACTCTTGATGAGTGTATAATTTCCTATTTTAGGGTAGGGAGCATAAAAATCAAATTTAGCAGTAAATAAAGATCTATATTCTCTAACCACCATTATCTATTTCGATCTGATCAAAATCTAGATTACATTGACGTAGTGCGCAAACAAGGGACCCACCAAAGGTCAAAGTGTGGGCAGGTATATTCAATTTTACGATTAGTCTATCTAAATAGTCCATCTTTGTTGTAAATCGTTTGCCTGAACAATATTTAATGGTTTTTATCTACATTTAAGTTTTTAGGTAGGTTAGCTAATAACAGCACATGAATTATCATTTTTGCCAAATAGCACCACTGAACGACGTGTAATGTGATCGTATGAATCGGCAAACGTCCATGGTTGAAATCTAATACTTTTGGAATCTACTTTGCTTGACTGCAGTGAAGAGAATCGTGTCAAGACTCATCAAGTCAAGCCTATATTTCGAAGAAGTCTTGTTGAACAATCTGCACTGTGTGTGGTGTTAGAAGTAAATAACTTTAATAAGAAAATACCGTTTTGTATTGGTCAAATTCACTGAAATTATAATATACGGCAGGTTTTCTCACAAGACGTATTACTTAGTGATATTTTGTGAATTGAAAAATCATTTTGGCTATTTGTAAGCAGACTGGGATGAAAACGTTATCGTTTGCAAATGTAAGAACTTATTTCAATACACCTTATCGGCGCGACAAAAGTAAAGCAACATTTGAAAAAAAAAACAACATTAACACATTTTCTTAATAATTAATAGGAAATCCATTGGTGGTTATAACTTTTTAGCAAAGTTTTAATTTATTAATTTTATTAATTAAAGAATGTTTATTTGAGAATTTTGTAAACGGAATTTGACGCTCCACCTTTCCCCAAAAGATTCAGGTCCGGCGACTGTGCTGGCCATTGAAAAACCTGTACCTTATTTTCCACCACTCCTGAACAAGGCGAGATGAATGTTTCGGATCATTGTCCTTTTGAAACACAAGTCGCAGTGGCATCTCCGAACCCAGTGTATGGTAACATAACATTTTGGAGTATGTTGCGGTAATACAGTCTATGCATAGAGTTTAATGAACCTACTCTACCCTACGAAAAACAACAACATATAAACACACCACCTTTTCCATGCTTTATTATTAGCGTAACAAACTTTAAGTGAAGTCTAGTATTAAGTGCGTCTTTATGTAGATTGATTTTCCTTTTGGCATATTTACTGCTTCAAAAATAGGAAGTAGACAGACAGAATTTTACATTTAAATTTACCGTTACAGTAAATCCCCTTTGGCTGTACCAATTGGAAAAGTTGCTCTACCCTTGTCGTGCTTGTAAAATGAATCGTAAAATGATCATATACTAACCTATTTGACATTTATAAACGATACGATGATTCTTTAAACCATACAATTTCTAACTTCAACACTTGCTGGTGTAATTTTAAATCTATCAATATTTGAATTTATCATAACACTCCCTTTACTTTTATTCGTTGGTGAGACTTTTTTTATGTCGTAGGTAGCTTTACTACAGCCGTTAGCTCGAAACCAGATAACTTGACCTACAAATGTGTGCGCAAACAAACGGTTCTATGCTACTAAAAATGGCGCGATTCAACAGGTTATTATGTATTTATTCAGAAAATGCGGCACGGGTATGATTTGTGAGACGGAGTTTTATAAGGTTCTTGTAGATAGATATTACTACAAAAATCACAGCGTTAATTATTAATCATAGGAGCGACTTATTATCATCGAGATTTATTTAGACTGAGAAAAATATTGATTCTCCATTTACTTCAATAGGTCAATACGCTTTTCTTTTCATTTGGGCGAAGCTCAGCTATTTTTTCTAAAAACGTATGGTTTCCGAAAAATTATCTACAGAAACACACAAATCTCGTTTACGCAGATTGGCGTAGATTTAGCCTTTTTTTTTAAGGAACCCCCGCAAGTCGTAGATTCACATTTTCCGAGTTCCTCTAGGGTCTAAATGATGTTGACTTGGGAGTCTGCCGCCTCAAACGATTCCAGACACCAATAGCATGTCAGGAAACGTCAGCGATAGGACAAAAGTTGAGAAAGTGTTAAGCTACAAGTAGTTTTCCGGTGAAAATGATTATTTTTCGGGCAATGGGGCCGAAAATTGTCGCAACTGCATTTTTAGAACAACAACATACATACCGGTAATAGGAAAAGTTACGAGAAGAAAGTTAAACGACTGCTGGTGAGGTGGGGATGTCGAAAAAATGTTTTTTTGAAACGTAAAAGACCGGGCCGCGTACGATACCGAGCGATCGGCAGAACCGAATCCGCGAATGTTCTTCGTCACGACGCACCGCCAGGTGCAGCAGCAGCAGCACGACACCGTCTCCGACAGTCCGGGACTTCCACGCACGCACACTCACTCAGTTTCAGCTGCTACTTGAAGGGTCGCAGTGCGTGCCGACAAAACGCAACCTCATCGGCAGCCGAAGGTCCACTGCGGACCCAGCGACGGGGCGCGCGCGTCGAGTGCCAAAAGAGGGGGCAAGGGAGGCTGCGACCGCCGTTCTGAAGCGCGGGGACGCCGTGCCGGGGCGAGGGGGAGCGGGGGCGACGCGCTTTTCCTCCTCGACGGCGGCGATCCCGCGGTGACGTGCCGGAGGATGCTGCGAAGTGCGAAAAGGTCTGGGGGTTAGTGGAGCGTTCGAGTGTATTGCGCCCGCTGGCGCAGCACCGTGCAGAGATGGCGAAGAAATGGACAACTTCTGTGTCCAAAATTAGAGTACGGCGTAGCTCAGCTTAAACGCCAGGATTAGTCGAAAATTAGATCTTTGTGAGAGTTTACCATATGGTGGAAGAACACATTATGAGACCTGAACTCTACTACGAGAATTAGGATTAGGAGCAAAACACAGTTTTACGAGGGGTATTTATAAAGTTCTGAGAATTGAATTGAATTTAACATGCAACTATCTAAATTTCGTTTCTTCGTGCGTGTAAATTTGCAATGATAGGGGTCATTAAACAGGGTGGCATGTACTTGCAATGATAATTTTTAAGACCTTCATTCCTCGAATCGCTCCTAAGTTAGGGTCACAAGTAATTTGACAGCGGCGTTAATACAGTATTAGAATAATAAAATATAATAACTATACATGATTATGATTTTAGAGATTTACTACATAAAAACTTATGTAAAAGTAAGAATAAAACGAAAACATAAATTGCAATCAATATTGTAATTTTAAAAAACCTATTGTTTGCAACTTCCTTTGTAAGTTTTAGTCATCATGTTTATTTATTTATTTATTTATATATTAAAGTAATCAACTGACTAACGCCTAATAACAGCTTACAATCAACAATTAGCAAACAAAAAACAAGAACACATATAAGTATCAACTATGTACTTTTTACAAAACTTCTGGATTCCTCCTGCGTCGGTTTTTGCTGAATCGAACTTGTTGGCTTCTTCAAAGCTTGATTGAAACTGGCTCGTATTTTACTCTGTACCTGCTTATATATTGTTTGAGGGGGGTGGAGTTAAATGAGGGGCAAAAACACGGTCTCGGATGACGGATTCCCATATTGGTGACAGGTAGAGACCTGAGTCGCGGTTAAGATTGTTAGGTTGTTTATAGATTTCTATAGACTCTCGGATTTTTCGTTGGTAAAAGAACTGATTACATAAGAATTTTAGTTTTATGGAATAAAATTTTATGTCCGGTTTCATGAGTGCGTTCGGCAACAGCGGATCGAGCTTATTTGTCTTAGTCGTAAGGCTCTTCTTGTTCTTTGAGTTCTTTGAGGTCTCACCAATGTATTCTTTGACGCATATGCATGGAATGCTATAAACTCCTGGCATCTCAAATGGAATTTTGTCTTTGACGGACCGAAGATATTGAGCGATTTTTGGAGAAGTGGTAAATCTGGTTTTGACATTATACTTCTTTATAACTTTGATATGTGGTCAGTGATATGTTGAATGTAAGGAAAGACCACAGTGCCAAGTGTAGGATTGGTTTCGGCCTCATTGCTATTGTCCTTTGCTTGTACAAAAATCTCTCAACATCTTCGGTCCGTCAAAGACAAAATTCCATTTGAGATGACATGAGTTTAAAGCATTTCATGCATATGCGGCAAAAAATACATTGGAGAAACCGGACGAAAAATATCAACTAGACTCAAATAACGCGGAAGAGCCTTACGACTAAGACAAATAAACTCATCAGCTGTCGCCAAACACACTCATGAAATAGGACATAAAACGATAAAACTAAAATTCTTGCATGTAACAGTTCTTCTACCAACGAAAAATCCGGGACCGCGACTCTACCTGTCACCAATATGGGAATCAGTCATCCGAGATGGTGTTTATGCCCCTCATTTAGCTCCGCCCCCCTCAAACAATATGTAAGCAGGTACAGAGTAAAATACGAGCCAGTTTCAGTCAAGCTCTGAAGAAGCCAACAGGATGATTGACGAAACGTCAGCAAGTTCGACTCAGCAAAAACGGACGCGGGAGGAATCCTGAAGTTTTGTAAAAACTATTACAGTAGCCTGTGGAAGTTCCTTTAAAAAAAATCAACTATGTACTAAACGAATAAGTTAACATGCTCTTTTTTTTAATAATTAATTATACTATAAGTTTTACAAATAACACCAAAAAAATATGAGCAAATACATGTTAGATTTTCTTTGAAATTATAGTTCGAAAAAACTAATTTGAACAATGTCCACATTTCTGGGTTCACTATTTATTAAATTGTACATTGTACAAAAATCGATAAAATCGAATTTTTCGAAAGCATCGCTTTTGACAACGAAACTCATATCTCGGCAACTGGAAGTTCTAGGGAACCTCCATTGGTACACGCGGTATTAATTGGGAAAACTTTCGACCAATTTGAACTACTACGTTTCAATTTGGCTCCTTTTAAGAAGCACACGGAACGCTTAGGCCAGTGGAGAAAGGTCGCGATCGGACCTCGGCGTCTATCTTCTTTTTTTTTTTCGATTTTCGAATGTTTTTTGGACATTGCTATGAAGCACGATCAGTGTCCGAAATTTTGGAGTTTAGTCACCTGATGAAGAGTATTGAAACTGGGACTGAGTTAGTTCAGAACTATAGACGCGTTTTCATAGTACGGTTTTTGTAACCATGAGAGAAGCAACAAAAACTCAAAGGAGGTGTGAAAACATCAGAAATTATTTGGTGTGTGAAAGGAGTATTTGGTAAGTCTGCCTAATCCAAAAGTACCGTTTATCGGTGATCAGTTAAAACCGAAAGAACATCACTAGAAGACGATGCCGTCGAAAACTTACTGAGTTCGTCAAATTAGAGTGCGCCTATGGTTAGGTAAATGACAAGTTCATGACATCTTGCATAATTTTTTGGACGTTGGAAACATTTCATGCGCTGTCTAGAAAGGCTGTTGAGAAAATAAAACAGAAACTTGTCGCCAACTTCAAGACCTGTCCACTATGGTGATTAATTTTGGCAATGCAAACGTTGATTCCTTATTGCAATTGTGGGGCCAAAAGTCGATTCAAAAAATGGCGCAAATCTGAACAAGGGCCTCCACATAAAACACGTGAAATTCCGTTTGTCGGAAAAGTAATAGTTACTGTATGCTGGCACTCCGAAAGGGTTATTTTTATAGACCATGTTGCAAGAGATAATAAGAGATACAATTAACGCACAATATTATTCGAATTTATTATCGGGACCACTGCGATAGGCATTTCTCAAAAAACGATCTTGAAAATTGCAAATGTCCCATATTGCATCAAGATAAGATTATCTTGAAAAACTACGTAGCAAACGAGAAATTACCTGAGCTTTATCAAATCAAATACCGGCAACTACATTGGCCAAGACATATCTTAAGATGTGAGAAAAATAAAACTCGTTGGAAAATCCAGCCATTATTAAAATTGAGGGCGATGTTGAGGGGCTATAGGCTATGAAATAGACACTGATGGACAAACATCATGGGCACAGACAGTCGAAGACTTAATTAGTCCACCAGTTCGATATGGCGTTAAATCACGGCGTAGGAAATATATCCATTATTCTATGACATAACAGTACCGTTACAATTCGAACCAAGTCCATGACCTTGCTTTAATATAGTAAAATAGCGTAAAAGTTGCAGTAACTTAAAAACTCTGACACGGTAACAGATCATATGTGGGGGTTTTATTATTAGGTTTTTTTTATGAAAAATTGAGTCGAAAAAAAGGACATTCCGTTTAGAAAGATTTTTACTTTGCCTTTGTCAAGTGTCAGCCAAATTCGCGCTACAGCCGGGTTTTTTTTTGTAAATAATCTGCAAGTTTCGTAAGTGCGTTCGCTCCTGTTATTTTCGTATATATGTTGTAAAATGTCAATCTAAACGCTTTTTCCACATAACTTATCACATAAAATTTGATCTCATATGTAGGAAAAGTATATGTAATTATTAAAACCATAATTTTGGTGGCAGCGTTGGGGGTTAACGCATAACTTTACATATCAATAATATTGCGTATAAATAAGCGACACTATTAAAGTCATATAAATGTAATCCCTTTACAGACCCTTCCTTTACAGCTATCTAAGTTATAATTATAATATAATTATAATTGCAACTATGATTCGCATAATTTTGGTGGCAGAGTTGGGGTTAATAAATAATTTTAAATTTTTAAACAAACGTATGCTAATAATTTTGCATCTCTATCTGCAGACACCAGTATGATTAACTTAAGTTAATAAGGAAGAGGGAAATAGGTTTTAAATTTAAAAAAAAAAACTGCCTCTACTAAATCAACAAACATATTTCACGTTTGTTTGAAAAAGTAGTGTACCGATATATTCATTTTGGTTGTCATTACTAATTGGAAATATTTTAACAGTAAAATTCAGAGTTAACATTTTCCCCAAATCGCTTCCATAAAATGTATTTTTTAATATTTTCGTACCATTAAAATTTTTGTTTTATTTAGAGCTTATTTAAAGTGTCTTGGACGTGATAAATTCAATCCTACGACGCAAAAACCGAGACATAATTAATAAGTACCTATCCATTGACATCAAAATTCGAAAATTAAAAATTCTACTAAAATAATAATTTCTCGAGTCGCGTATAATTTGAGAAGGTCAATCAGATTGTCAATCACTTTGTTTATTTGTGTCTCTGGGAGTGGCCAGAAATGCTTATTGAGCATGATCCACTAGAATGTATGGTATCTTCACTATGCAGTTCTAAAGAACGGGACAAAAATATTTTTTTTACATTTTTAAATGACACATTGTAAATCAGTAATGAGCTAGATTTAAGCTAAAGGGCCATACATACGGACCTTTAGGTCATACATACAGATCAAAATCCTGGGCATTTTGATCTGTTCTGCTGCTTATTGTTTGAACAATACCGAAAACCGACGGAAATGTTGTGCGTCGTTCCTTTGAAGCGTGCATTGAAACATGACGTTCTTCGGCATACACATTAAAGTTTTTGTATGAAAGTATTGTCCCATGTTGGTCGCGACTGAGGGGTATGTTCGTTATTAGTGACGATAAAGCCTTGCGTTTTCGCAAACCTTTCAAAATTATTAAGACGTGCTTAGTTTTTAAAATACACGATGATTTTGAAGATTTGAAGTTTTAGGGAAACCCTCGTATCTCGGGTATCCTATAAAATGACGGAAAGGTGACAAGCGCATCTGATATAGATTTTTACGTAGAATTCAGTGGGGTAGTCAGTTTTTTTTTAAGATAAAAGATGATTTTTTTTAATGGAACTACCTGTATCTATAGGCCAATTTGATTCCGCTTGGTATGACCTTCTCAAAATTTTCATGAAGGTATTTGCGGTAGGCCTTGAAAAAAAAAGGACTTATTAAATATCTAAACTAGTTACCTTATTTATTCCTGACAACACTTAGACAATAACTTTTATAATTTGCATTGTGTTTTGCTGTGTGCGTTAGAGAAAATGGTCGACATTTTTCTTATATTTGTATCGTTTTGATTTATCCTTTTTAATAATATAGGCCGTAAAGCTATGTGAAATGTCACAAATAAAATGTTAATATTAAATTAAGTTGGCTTCATGCAAATTATAAAAGTTATTGTGTAACTGTTGGGAATAAATAAGGTAACTATTTTAGATATTTAATAAATACTTTTTCCAGGGCCTACCGCAAATACCTTCATGGGAATTTTAAAAAATCGGAAGACTGTTTTACATTTTTGAGAACTTCCATTAGGAAAACCTCTCTTTTTTAAAGACGAAATCATTTTTAAAAAAACTGACTACGCCACTGACCTCTTCGTAGAAATCGATATCGGATGCGCTTGTCACCTTTACGATATTTCCTAAGATACCCAAGATACGAGGAGTGCCCCAAAACTACAAATTTCCAAAATCACCCTGTATTTTAAAAACTATGCAAGTCATGAAAATGTTGTTAACGTCATCTTTCGTTTCCCCAAGAAGTACCAAAGGTTTGCCTAAACGCAAGGCTCTATCCTCACCAACAACAGCGACCAAAATATGACACAGTGTACAGTACAGGATATATTTAGAACACACTTAATTTAAAATATTTATTAAAAACTTAACCTTCTCATACTACACATTCACCTTTACTACTGTACAAGACTTATCCTTCGCCCCATATTAGGCTAGTAATGTTCGAAAACCAAATAAATTTGAAAATGAGATTTACAACCCGTCTGTCACTTCGAATTGTTTGATCTAAACACACCAACTAGTTAATGATATGAATAATTTTCTCACTGAAAAAATATTTTCTCTCGAAATTGGTGGTTACTATATATAAAGATAAAAGATTTTCATTTGATTCTTTTCTATGATGTCGGAAATATTTTGTTCATGTCAATAGGGACTTCCGTTACCCTAATATGACTATTTTTGGACAAACGGAGAGAAGCCTAACACTAAGACGGCACTGGCATACGAACTATAGTCCAATAAGTGTTCAACTCAATTATTTTCAACTATAAGTTTGACCCCACTAGACTTTTCATTAACGTTTCCGGTGTTAAATTATTCAGCCAATATACGAGGGGAATATTTGTGATTTCCTGTCAACACGTGAACAAATTACGCAGATAGGTGGCGCTCTCTGTAAGTGATCTGCTATTTTCACAACAAAGGGGTCAAGTGCCATAATACGTGTTGTGGGTCTATATTGTTTCTTAATCCTGAATAGGAACGCTGTAGCTGAAAAAAGAGACCTAACCTACAAGTAAGTCTTTGTTTTAATTTCTAATACGACCGTAGGGCGGCCCCGATTTTTATCTTATGCGCGGTAGGTTTGAATTCGCAGGCTTAGCCAATTGTTAGTGTAGTGGATTAGATACTCACCAAACCTTTTTTTTAATATTGTGAAAAACCCTACGGCGATCTCGTAGACAGATCGGTGTACTGTGTATATATATTTTTCTGTAAGTCCCAAAAAATATTCTTCTTTCTTGTATATAACATGTAAATTTACATTTAATTGCAAGTCGTTAAACTGCGAACAGAGATTGACACTTTTTAAAAAATACTATGAGTACAGACCTGAAGTGCATGGAACGTACATCATGAGCTTAATACATTTAACTGACGTAAAGAGAAGAAGGCATGGCTCACACGAAGACCCTCGTGCTAGTCACCGTCAATGTACCACCCACTATAGCCTTCCAGACGGAGAGGGTAATGTTGTAGTTGTATGTAAATCCACTTTTATGAATACTTTCCATTTGACAAAAAAGCATTTGGAAACTATTATATGAAGGAAAAAAAGCGGCAAAGTTGTTCATAAAACCATGAGAACTTGTACAACTCCTGAAAAATTTACGCAGGGTAATAGGCAACTTGTTAGAGAGCATATAAATAGTATAGGCCGAGAAGATTCTCATTATTCGCGGGCGAAAAGTGCAAAAAAATATTGAAGTTCAGATTTAAACGTGAACCGCCTTCATAAAGCGTTTTTGCAGAAATATCCACTCATTTTGGTCAAATACAAGTTTGAAAGAAGACTTGCCAAATGTTTCATTTAGGGGAGCTCAAAGTGACACCTGTCTTAAATGTGACTCGTTAAATTGCGAAAGGGCGAAAGAAGTCGGGCGGCAAAGTTGGAGCTGGAGGTGCACCATAGAGAGATAGAAGCAGCGTGTATGCTCATGGAAGCACCACGAGTGTGTTCTCAGTGGTTTTAGAACAAGTCATGTTAGTACCGACTTTAACCCACACATGGCTTTTTGTTTACTGCTCAATCTTTTTCTGAAGTAGCATTTTGGAAATCCACATCGATACTTAAGAAAGGAAAAACCATAGAAATTAGAAATATCTCAGTTAGGCTGCTACCAGACAGGAATAAGTTCGGTGATAACAAGAAAAGGCACCTAATATCAATGATTCCTTACCTAAAAAACTCTAAGCACGAATAATTTTATTCTCATTTGACCAAATAATGTGTAGGCACTTAGCCCCTTTCTCATTTTTCTTAAATATTAAAAAAAAAATTTTTTTTATTTTTTTTTCCATGATTTATATGTCGCAGGTTATTTACCCGTAAGCCAAATAATATGTTGGTTTATTTTTTGAAAATAAAATGTTTTTTATTTTGGTAAGAAAAAGTTTTTTTTTAATATATCCTTTTAATAATTTTGCCATTTTGTTACTTCTACTCTGCAATTGAACACCCTCACCACCATCTATCCGTCCATAGACGAATTAGCCGTCGACCAAAACGCCTCATTGAAGTAGAAGTTGCTAGTTGAAGACAAGGGGGAGTGGAGTGTTTTACCGAGTACGATGTAATTCTGTGTTATTTGTTTGATATTTCAACCCCTTCTACTTCAATAGTAAATTGTTTAAGTACGGTTCTGTGTTTAATTACGCTCTCGAATTCACCAGTTGCTACAAAATTCATTTCGTCCAGACAATTCCATAGTCTTCATTTTGAAGTTGATACAAAAAACTAGTTTGGATTCACTCATACAAGTAACAAATTGATAGTTTTAAACACCCACTTCTAATTCGTCAAAAAATATGTTTCCTATATAATTGCTTATGCCTAAATCCAACAAATGAATGAATGAATATGCTTTTTTGCAATTTTAGTCTAATACGCTGACGACGAGCCGCGGGTTGCATTTTTGCTATTCTGAAATACTCACGTAGTTGACCAATACGCCTATATAGCTATTAGATAAAAAATATAGTGGCCTAAAAATTGAAGCGCGTCAAGCGGCAATGATATTTTCGTAAAGTAGGGAATGGTACCTCTAAATTTCACACGTTGCACCGTTTTCTTTCTAAACAGCACTCTTCACTCACTTAACTCGTTTATCCAGTACATTTACCGAGATCTCAAAATATTTGGACAAAATTCTGGCATAAAAATGCACATTTAAGCTGACAGCTGTCGAATTGATGAACTGTCAGCGGCCATGTTATTGAACGCCAGAGGGTCTCTCTTATTGCTTGTTTTCAAATTTATTGCTTGAAAACGAGATTTTAAAAAACCGTGAATGTGCATATTGGATGGCCTTTTCTCATATTTCGAATTGTCATATTTGTTTATCTTGATATCTTTAAAGACAAAAAGATTATAGCGAATCTTACCTCGATCTGCAAAAGGTGACATGGACCCTTGTCCATGTCTATAACCACGGTAGAGACCATCTCTACCGTGCTTTAGACAGGTTTTTTGTCTTTTTATATATCGCGCCATTACTTTTGGCTAGGAATAAATCGAAAAATGTGCACCTGATATTATAGGAGTAATGATATAAAAGTTCTCTTAAACACAACTTTATATTCAATCTTTCTTGCTAATATTCGAATGGCTTCCTTTAGGAATTTTAAAGTCATTATTGAGAGGAAATGGTAATTATCTCCAAATTAGTATTTTTATATTGACTTGTTTCATTTTAAAGCCATACAAAATCTATGTTACTGTTTTATTTAATTATCTTCACATGTTCCGAAAATACATATTCTTTTTGTTTTGTTGAAAAATGCCCGGCAACGCATTAAAAAAGTGAATTTTTCCTTTTTGAGTTATTGACACCCTCGCCACCAAATGCGGATATTTCTGGTGAAGTACAACAGATGATATTTTTTAGGTTTTGGTCATAATGTGCCACTCATCTGCTGGTCAAAAAGCCGAATTTGTAGTAAAATGGCCTTTTAAATTTAAAATTTCATTTCATTGAATATATTTTTTGGATCGTATTTTTTGTTTTAACGAAAATTGTATTGTAGGTACAATTTCTCCTTTGTTTAGACGCCGACGCAGGAGACACCTAGAAGATATGTACCTACAAGTTCCACAGCCTGCGGAAGTATTTTTGAAAAATTGAAATTTGTATTGTTGGAATACATCATGGATGTTGTAAAGGTGCTTCATTCAAAGAAATAAAACAACATATTGTGCATCTATTGTTTATTAATATAATTTATATACATTGTAGAAATGTATTTGGATCTGTGATGACATCTACAAAAATCGTCAATAGTAAGGCCTCTATGGCTTGGACATTAATATCTTTTTTGCAGAGATAAACATTAAAATAATCAAAGTTATTTACAAATTTGTAACAGTTATAATTAAAAATAAAAATTGTACTAAGTAGAAAAAAACTAGAGAAAAAAAAACACCCACTAACTTGTAGTGTTGTAATGAAAGACATTGATTTGGAATCAGTCGGTACTAAAAGAACCCAGAAAGATAAGCTTTGCTTCGGAAGCTAAAATTGTTAAGAATTGAACTTCTCAGTTTCAATACATAAAAACACCTTTCATAAACACCCAAATACCAAAATATTTTTCGCCTCATTTTAATCGTAAAATAACGTGTTTTGTTTACATCAAAAATTTGAATAGAAATGATTTTTTTTGTACCAGGTTTACCATTTCACAAAACAAAAATTAATTGGCAACTGACACAGAGAACCCACTAAATTATCGAAAAATCGAACTTATGTAAATCTTAGTGCAAATTACAATGAAATAATAATTGCAAATTGACTTTTTTATATCTGGGCTTACAATTATTAAAAGAAAAAGTGAAAACAAATAAATTAAGACTAGTACGGACATATTGCAACTAAATGTTCTTCTACAGGTTAAATGGGTGTCCAAAATAACCTCTAAAACAAAAATATACAACAATAGGTAAAACATTTATATTGTTTTCAACTTAAAACATCTAGTTACAGAAATAAAACAGACGAAGTGAAAAATGCCCAATAAGCACACGTATATATTATAAATATATTTACAAAGGGAAACTGATCTTTATAAATTGTTTGTTGCTTTTTTCATGGCACCATCTGATTCCATTTCAAAAAGATTCTGAATGTTTAATATAAATACTATAAATGATAATAAAATATTAAAAATAAATAAGAATAAGACATTCAATTGCATCCCATTCAAAATCATTATGACCAAAAGGAGATAGGCACTTTGGTCCAAATTCTTCGTATTTTGTATCTAGTAAGAACTAGCCGAAAATATACAACATAAAAAGTAAATAAAGATAAGTAATATTAACAGTCGTGTAACGAATTTTTAGCATTCAAAGTTGCCACACATGTGCCTGAATTACTGAACCAGACAACAGAAATTCAATACCAATTTACAGGTGAAATAACAGACAACATATAATTTTCTTTGCATGACAACTTTTGAAAAGATTTTTAAAGATCAAGTGAAAATTTATAGAATTTTGGTATTGTTAATAATGTGAGCAATGTGGTTACGCTTACATCTAGCATGATGACAAAAAGTCATAATCAAAAAGGTCGGCCAGACCTTCTGTCGTATCCAAACTAAAATTGTACTCTGGTTGCATAAGTGGCTCAAGAGGTACAAAAGGTTCCCCACAAAAAAACGGATCCAGACCTAAAAAAAATATACCAAACACTTCACAGTGCATGTAATAATTTTATTTTATAGGTATAAACTTGAATGCGGGTGTTTTTAGGTATAGTGATAGTTACATCGCTATTCCCTTTCTTATTAGTTTCATTCGATTATTTTTTTATAAAAAGCGGTGATATGATTCTTAGTATGAAGTCCAATCAGAGCAAGTGTGCAGAATTTTGTTTATTAGTTTCGAAATGCGTGTCGAAAGGCGCGTCAAGATCAAAATTTGCTAGCTAAGACATACAGATCCTCTTTGATTACTACACTACACGTGACATAACTACATAACGTTTATTATTATTATTATTATATTATTATTATAACCTGAAATTACCTAAAGATGATCATTTCTTATCCATATTTCCATATCCATTATTCTTGAACTGTTAGTGAGGTCAGCAATTTTTATTACAATAACATAGCAATGAGAATATTTCAAAAATGTTTTTTTAATAATATTCTAAATTACATTTCTTGTTTAAAAATCATCACTAATTAGTAATTTTTAATTAAAAAAAATATAGAAAGCCCAACGAAAAAGTTTATGGCATAAAATAAAAATTATAATGTGTACAACATAGCAATGAGAATATTTCAAAAATATTTTTTTAATAATATTCTAAATTACATTTCTTGTTTAAAAATCATCGCTAATTAGTAATTTTTAATTAAAAAAAATATAGAACGCCCAACGAAAAAGTTTATGGCATAAAATAAAAATTATAATGTGTATAACATAGCAATGAGAATATTTCGAAAATGTTTTTTTAATAATATTTTAAATTACATTTCTTGTTTAAAAATCATGACTAATTAGTAATTTTTAATTACAAAAAATATAGAAAGCCCAACGAAAAAGTTTATGGCATAAAATAAAAATTATAATGTGTAAAACATAGCAATGAGAATATTTCAAAAATGTTTTTTTAATAATATTCTAAATTACCTTTCTTGTTTAAAAATCATCACTAATTAGTAATTTTTAATTACAAAAAATATAGAACGCCCAACGAAAAAGTTTATGGCATAAAATAAAAATTATAATATGTATAACAACATATAGCATGAAAAAATAGAATATAATTGTATTCCTAGTCGTCTACATGTCAAAAACAACTCGAGCAATAAAGAAATAACGCTTCGTAGGTCATTAATGAGCGACATTTTACGGGGCAAGGCTAATTTCTGGCGCACTAATAACAGACCACCCTGTATACAAAGACAATGAGCATGAAAGAATACAATCACATTTTGGTATTTTAAATTATGTGCAACAGGAAATTCAATTGTCACCAGAGAGAACCAGCATCAGATCAATCAATAGTTTAAAATAGACAATTTGATTCAAGTTAAGCCTCACTAAATTATTTGTAAAAACGAGGATACGTACGTGAGTCTTTGCAAAGCAAAAAGCATCAGTGGTGTAAGGCTTTTTTTAGTTTGTTGATAATTTTTAAGTTACGATATTCAGCGATTTCCTTTCTCTTTTTCAAACATGTTTGTAATCTGTTAATCTAATCGAAAACAAACATATCTTTAAACAAGATTCCAACAAAAACTGTATGATAATTATATTGAGCTTGTTTATTATTTTAGAATGTCCTTTGTTTCTTTAAAAATAAAAGATATTTTTTCCATATACAGAAAAACTGTCAATTTTCAACTTCTTGTCAACCTTGTCCAGGACCAATAATTATCCTACAATAATCTAAACTCAATCGAGGAATTAATCTCGCCCTTCCTCAACGTAGTGAATGTAAAATGGCTCATCGGCCCTTTATCTTTAACATTTAAATTATATTAATTGATGACTAACTCAGGGTAAAGTAAAATTATAACAAAACCCGAAATTAAAACGCTTCCCTAAAAAATAAGTATAAGTACGCAATACCCTTTGAGCTTTAGAATTCAGTCTGAAAAGTATGATTACAACACAAGAAGGGGATCTGCCAATCTGCACCAAAGCATTATCATCACTCGAAGGAACTCACCGCAATGAGCTGAATCCCATGGTGCTACAAAACGGCTTTATGAAAGCAGCCCACATAAGATCCAACACAACGCAGTCGCAAAGCACATAGGAATGATGAGGAATGTGAATGATTGTGAAAAAGCATGCTATTAACTGTAAGATTTTACATTGCAGAAAATAAAAATTAGTCTGTAGTAAAAAGTCAAACCTAAAAGCAGGATATAAAGGATACTATACACGAAACAGGACATCATACAACATAATAACACAAATGGTATAGGATGTTAGTACCATACCCAGAAGCAGGAGGTAAACGCATAGCTAGAACTCTGCCTGTGATGTGACTAACTCAGCATACACAAGTCACAGACAGAATCCCAGAATGCAGTTACAAAGTGATTAGTGATAATTAAGACTATCAGGGCTAGCTAGTAAACTAAAACTTGCCAATATAAGCAACAATGAGTTGGAGTGTATTGTTGTTGACACAGTTACACTGGGTAAAACAGCACTTTCAAAATACACAAAAAAAAATAAACTTACCATTACTCGTCCTGTGCTCATTGATGTTCCCTTGACTCTGATACCTATTAACCAGTGGTGAACTGCAAGAATCACCAAATAACATTTTCAAACAGGTACTTGGAGTTTGATTCCCTTCAATATGTTTAGAACTTGCGGTGGTTGGCGGACTGTCCAGGCTAGGATCCATTTTAACCATAGATGGGGTAACACCCGAAAAAGATAAGGGATCGCTGACATTTGCCCCATTAGAGTAAGTTGATGATGATGATCCACCCGTTTCAAATTCATCTTTAATAAACGACAATGACCGACAAACCTGAAAAAACAATGTGTTTTTAGTACAAAAGATATTTTCAGAATGGCAATTGGTACAGTATAATTATTTGCTGTTACCTGGGATGAAATAGGCCTATGTGGTGGTGGAGGGCTATCCAATTGAGGAACTGGTGGGGTGACGATATCAAACAAACCAGGACTCAACCTAATATCTTTGAGTAATGGATCCATTGGTGGTACTGGTCTCGGTTTTACAGGTGATGGAGGTTCTGGACACAAATATACCTAGAAAATATTCCCAAAAGTAAACAAATATTATTCAGTTTCCTTTTATTCCTTTTTAATTTCACTGCAAGTCACCACAATGGAAACAAAACTCAATTGATTATAAATGATAAAAAAACAAACAATTAAATGTAACAGTTTTTAAACTATATCAAGTTAAACAAATAAATAATTTAAGAAACATTTATTAAGGGAAACGTCGTTAAAAATCGGATATTTGGTATTTCCAAAACATGGTTATGAACAACTTTTTGAAAAAAGACAACAGAAACCCTTGTCAAATTAAAAAACAGTGATAAAAATAATATAAAGGGTGAAAAACAAAATCAATTATTCAAAATATTTTGTTACCTACCTCAATAGGTCCTTCAGTAGATTTCATTTGAATGCTGTAGCGATCATCATCATTATCATCACCAGTTGGAACTGATAGCTTTGTATTGGGTGGCGCTTTGATTGCCATCACAGTCTTATGCTTCATTTTGGGAATTGATCTTAAATCTTGATATGACACATAACCATACCTGTAACAATTGTGCTTTAGACAAAAATTTTTAATACTGTGCAGAACTTGAAAAACATTACACTTTGGACAAGTGCAAAAATTGCATAAAAGTATTACTTAACAAAACGTTTATAAATATTCTAAAAACATATATTATTAACGAAACATAGCAATTATTAAAACTTGCTATTTGATGATGTATCACCATTATAACATGCAAAAGTATTGCATTAATCCATGGTATTGAACAAGAAAAAAAAAATTTATTTGTTAATTTATATCTTTTTCAAAACCAGCAGAAGGTGGATGTATGAGGATTTTATAATATTAAATTGTATAGAATTGTATGTAGAATATAAATATGCAATAAAATACCTATAGAGTATTGCAAAGTTACTATTTGCGACTGGTAGATCTGAAATGTAAAAAATATGGCAACTGATATACCAAAAATAAAGTTGAAAAACAAGATTTGAAAAGATAACACAACAAAAATTATTTGCACATTCAGAAAAAATAAATTTTACAAAATGGTAGAAATAAATTCTTAAAATTATTTTACATTTGTAACTGCAAGGTCTATTCACAATCAAATAATATACTTTTGGTCCAAACCCAGTGTATCAAAAGTACCTTTTACACAGAAGGATATTTTGAAATAAAGGTAGTCTAAAAGCGGAGACTGTAGGTGAAATATCCAAAATCTGTTTTCCTTTTTAAATTCATTATAATGCAAAACCTACAAAATTATTTCAAAAAGAATGTTTCATTAGATAGAATCATTAAACTTAATTCAATCTAGTAAAGCTAATTTACTTCTTTTTTTTCTATAGACTTATTAAAGTAATCTATATGAAATTATTTTAAACAGTCAATAGTATAAAATATGCCCATTAGTTTAAAGTAATGTAATACAATCTACACAAATAAAAAGACACATAACACAACATCTTACTTGTCATTGCTTAAATTCCTGAGTTCTCTTTCTGCCATTTCTAACTGCCTATCCAATTGATTCTCTCTATCTTCCAAAATTTTCAACTTCTTTTTTAGCATAAAAAAACTAGTATTGTCCTTTCCCCCTGTCCATTGGATATTATTTTTCGATTTCTTTTCCAAAAGCCCAATTCCTTCCAAAACATTTGTTATATCATAGATTCGCCTTTTTTGTACTTTTAGATCAGATGAGGCTTTATTTAAATCTACTACACCATTAGGACTCTTCTCTAGCAGCTCTGAAAACTTCTTCGTTAACAAACTTAAGGAAGTATCATACCTAGTGTTCTTCCTCAAGGAAACTGGTCGTTTTTGTTTTTTGGGCTGTGGCGTTTTAAATTCGTGAGTTGCTAATGGCACTACACTATAGCTTTGTGATTCCAGGTTCAATTTTCTTTTAACTGATGGTGCCGAGGCAGGTGTATTGCTCATAAGTTGATTAATCGGAGTAGCTCCATACCCATGGTCCAGTAAATGAGGGCTTGGTGTATATTCTGACTTAACCAGTGTCATGTCTGGGGTGGAATATGAAGCCACCACTTTGTAACCTCTAGGGCTATCGCTACGACGGATAATTTGCTTTGGCATTGTGACCACGGGTTGTTTCTAAATCATATTTATCAGTCGGGAAATCTGCCGAATAATGAACAAGAAAGCTCGTCAAAATTGAATTGGCATCGTCAACACGGTATCACAAGTCATTTCCAGAACCGAAAACATTTGTTTAAATATAATAATAACAATATAAATACAAATTAGGGGAAACAAACTTGACACGATTTGGTGGGGGTAGTTTTTAACCGTTACGCAATTGGAAACTTAAAGCTCACCCTACCCTTTAAACCGCCATTATGGCAAGCACCCCGGAATGTTTTCTTAAATAAAAATAACATTATTACTTACTTTTACCAGTCTATGGCCTTCATCTATGCAACTGCCAAGTTTGAATGGGATAAATTCGTTATCATTTTTTCAGATTTTACGAAAAAATTACATGTTCTCGAATATTGAACAAAATGGTTTCCTGTGGATACCTCAAAAGCACGAAAAGCACAGAAAAAACACATTTAAAAAACATTATGAATGAGTTTGTCAGAAAATTTCGAAATTCATAACGGCCAAGTTAAAAGGCTCCCGCCCGCTGAATTCGTTGACGAAAAATACTCCCAAATAGAAACAAAAAATATATAAATTTTAGTGTCAGATTCGACGTACCGTCTACACTTTAACTGCTGTTACAAAACATCTGCCATCTGTACCCGGCATTGGCGCGAACTGTAGCGCATGCGTTTTGGCATCTCGTTCCAGATGATCCCACGGAGTTTCCCGTTTTCAATTTTTTTTACCTGATAAGCAGCTGCCCTTATGATTATGCTACATTACACGATGCGAGTTTAAGAAATTCGCTAATTTACAACACAGAGTAGGCACTTTTCACATGAGCATAGCGAAGTTAACCTTAAACTACATGCTGTCGAATGTAAACAAATATGGCTAAAAATGCAAGGGCGACTAGACGATGTATGCTGGGATATACCGGTTTCTATGAACCGAAACATTTTCCTCAAACACTCTGACTTTTACATACCTTACTTTGCCGTTCAATTTAATGCACTACCTTTTCAAGCATCTAACAAAACTGGAAATTTAGTATTTCCTAGTTTATCATAGACGTCAAGAGACAAGAGTACAGAGGCGAAATAAGTATACGGAGCATAAAAGTAGATACATAGTGTAAAGCAACAGCAGCGCCGATTTAGCAAACAATATTTTGTTTTATATTTTATTATTATCATCGAAACATGTGTGTAAATTTATATTAATGTTAATATAGAGCCTGTATTTAATTCAATAAAAAAAACGAAAACCGATTTGGCTTTCGCTGATAGTAAGTGTATAGCTCAAAATTGTTCACGGAATATTCACGATACTTAGTCTCTCTAATGTTTCCCTCTACACATTTTAATATTTACCCTCAGCCAATTTTGTTTCATAGTCATATTTATACATCTCGTGTAACAGCTCACTCTCACTATAAATTATATTATAAGTAGAGAATTATTATTTTATACAACGAATTATTATCTAGTTAATGCCGGTTTCCAGTATTGACGCAAGGATAGCTGTGGTTAGGCTATATTTTGTTTAACGCTCATTGCATACCTATATACATAAAAAAAAATCGATTACCCGCCCAATCTTAAACCAATCTTACATTGAACCATGAGGTACATATATTCCGAACGATTAAAATGCTGAAAATAACGTCATTGAGGCAATGTCGTTGGTTATTTAATTTTCAGGAGCACAAAAGATCGGATTGATCTGATCCAATTAACATTACTTATTATATTATTGTTTATACAGGGTGTTGCAAAATATTTGAACCACCAAAAATGTGTCGTCCTTAATTTTTATGGAACGCCCGGTTTATACCTCCGTTCCTCTTCGTTAACAGAAATATGCAAGGCGTTTCACCTCGAACCTAGTTGATCTAAAAATATGGGATTAACTAGTAAAAAGTTTTAAATTTCGATTACTACTGAAGTCGATTGTTGCCATTGGGCTAAAATAGTTCTAAGATAGCGTCACACATGCCGATATTCTCATTTTTAGCGAAAAACCTGGAGCATAACAAAGATGAGCTCAGATTCTTGGAATCAAAGGAGAGTATAGAAGCAACGCTGTTGTCATATGGTTAAAGATTTCCTCGTTGGCGGGGTGTTTTTTTTTTATTAAAAACGAAAATTGAAGAAACATTAACTACAAGGTTGCATATTCCGAATAAATATTATTATACTTCAAGGTATTCGTCTTTTTGAAAATATTGTGTTTTTAAAAAAACCTCGTGCATATTTTGTATTTAATGAGTTGCCGAGAAGGTAGCAATTGTTTTAATATTCCCTTAAATGTTCTACTGATAGTTATACTGTTAATTAAAAGTGGAAATTTATTTAATGGTTTCACCTACATGTAATATGGGCTGGTTTGTGATGAATTGAGTGTTGTGTCTATGTACGGGGTCATGTCAAACATGTTTCCGTTTTTATAGAAAGATAATATGATAAATAAAAACTTCATCCAATTTATATACAATTGTTGTGCCATATACTATCTTACATAATTCTATACAAAGACTGAGAGTGTGTTTTTTATTTGCACGTCTTATAACTTGATTATTTCTTAAACGTATCATGTTTTATGTGCGATTTTCTGTATTGCATACTTTCTGTTGAATAAAATATTGGATGGACCTGGCATTAACATGTTTGTGTTATCAACATAATTTGTAATTAAAAAGAAATGCTAATTTCCCTGATACCACACAACATCCATTGGATATGTCTGATTAGTTCATACATTATCCATGCATTTGAGGAAACTCTCTGAACGTTCATTTTTGTACAATTTCTATAACGGTAATACACAATAAACTATACCGATAGCTAGTTTCAAGAATTCTAAGAACATTTTGTTGATGGAATATTTGAAATGCTATTTGAAGATAATCGGCACGTCAAAATTTGCAAATTAAAGTTAATTATTGCATTTATTATTAATAATTATTTTTCAAGACAGGCACCATATGACGTCACCGCTTAAAATTAATATGCATGCATGGACAGAATAAGAAAAGTTGTTACTAACCAAAAAATAAAATCTGCATTGCTTTTGTTAAACCTTAATATCCTTACCAAACAATTTTCGTCATGCCAGTTTATTCGCGTCAATGAATTGTACATGGCTCGTGGTAAGTACATATTAATTATTACCAAAATGATTAAAAAAAAATTATCTTTGGATATTCCTTTCGTCAATATTTCCTATAAGAACCTTTTTGATTTTGAAAAAATCTATAATTGTATTTTAAAAGTTTTACGTGTCTAAATTCTAAATTCTATAGCTCCTAAAAAATATGAATTTAGATATTTTATGAATTTACAAATAAATTATCGTTTAAAAATAACCCATATATTTGAAACCAATTTTTCTCAACGTATACTAACGTATAGTAATTTTTCATATATTTTTTACATATCAGCGATCTTTCAAAGAATTTTTCATAGTTAATACTGTTGACAAATCTTTTGAGTTCCTCCTGCGTCAATTGTTGATAAATTGCTAGCTCGGTTAAGTTCTGAAGAAGTCAATTGGATGATTGGCGAAATGTCAACACGCTCAGTTCATCAACCTGCGTCGGTTGGAGAAGGAATCTAGAAGATTTGTACATAGTATATCAACGATTGTTTCCAAATTATCTGAATTTTTCTAGGTATTTTATTGGAAACTCGTATATTTTGCATTTCACAAACATTTCTGCAATACAAAAAAAACTTTTATTTAACAAATAAAAAGTATTCCGTTATTAAATTATATTAAAATATGGTACCTTAATAAATTGTATTTGAGAAATTACAATTGGCAATTTTGACAAAATTCTCAATTAAAAAAACATTAGCGACTCGTTGATTACAATGTTCAAAAAAATTGATCCGCCGCGTGTGTTTAATGAAAAACTAACAAAAATGGGGCGATTACCGTGCATCCAGCTTGACTAAAGAATCTTTAGAATGCAATAGTAAAATAACCTAACCCAATAAACATTGTTGTCTTGTCTCCATGAAACAGGGTCAATTTGCCCAATTTTTTAAATAGTATTTTATTGATAGTTTTATCTTTTTGGGTCCGATTTTGCTTAAAATGGGTAACTTATTTGCACTTGACAAAGGAGCGTACTATCAGCTAAAAAAACTACTATAAGAATTTATCAATTCACCTTATTCCATAAATTATTGTATTTTCTAGAAAATAAATCAAAACTTTAATTACTCATTTTTCACTACCACACTACTAAAGATACCAAAATATGCAGCCATTAGGCATTCGTGAAGTGTCGCTTCAAAACGCCAGGTCCATTAAAAATTGTCGGGATCAACTTCCAGCGTTTCCGGTACTTCAGTCACAGGTTCGGAAGGAGTAGATTTTTCGATTCCTTTAAAACACTGATGGCATTTTTTTGACGTTTATCAGTTCTGATGGTTACATCACTCAGTGAATTTATTTATGGGGATTTGCAAAAATGTATCAAAAAACTAATGGTTGCAGAAAATGTATAGAATAATGCACTATGTTTATAAGACTTGTTCAGCCGCTCGTTTATTAAACACGCGCTCCGCTCGTGCCAGAACAAATTCCAATTGCGTTTATCAAACTTGTTCCATAATATACTATAGAGCGATTAAAGTTGAAACTATGTTCTATAGGAATTTTACGAATATTATCGGATTAAATAAGGAAAATATTTAATTTTATGTTTTACAAAATAATCAGAAAGCGATAACAGAGCTCAATAATACCTATATTTATAATACCTATTATAGTATAAATGGCGTATTGTTTGAAAACAGCCTGGTCCCTGCCATCTGCAGATGTGTTCTATTTTTTTAGGTATCAGAATTATGCAAATTTCTTTGTGTTTTTATTTCAATTTTTTTTATATGCGCAGTGCATTGTCAACTAAATAAGTGATTTCGTTATTCTTCACAAGCAGAAACCAACATTGTAGAAGAATATATTAAAGCGCAGTGTAATGACTACTTACTATCGTAACATCATCGCGAGACAGCATCAGCATGCAGTACATCAGATACAAGGTACAACATGGAACGGGGCGTATCAAAATATTTATTGTTGACACGCGATATAAATTGTGGATCTGGTTTTATGCGCACGTACTCGAATATCCAGACTGAATGCGCATCGCGTATCGCGATTTATGACTTTCCATCTTTGTGAGATGTTATTTAAATGTAAGAAATACCAGACCTTACAAACTGGTTATTGCCGCATTTAATGATTTTAAGACAACATTAGCGAACATTTTTACAAAAATTTGAGTAAAATGGCCAGCAGATATTAGATTAAAAAAAAAACGTTTATTATTTATTGAATCATTTATTATGCTTGTAACCTTTTTTCTTTGGAATATTGAATTATTTGAAGTTATTTAATTTACTTAGATTTGATAGAAGCGTTTTCTTATTCATTAGACAATTGCAATTGTCAACGGAAGCTATTGTAAGATTTTCGGTCCGTTATTGGGATATTGATTTCAATTAATTCAGCATTTGAGGCTTAAGCTTCAGATTTTTCCCAAAATTAAGATGCACCTCTCAAGATAGACAGGTTTTATGGCACGCTTTCAGCGTCTTGAGCAACAGTTGATTAGCCGTGCTTTCATTTACTTCATTTTAATTACTTTTTTGCATTACATTACATACATTTAAAACAGCTTATTAGGCGTAGATGACTGATGATGATTGTCAAAAGTCCCAAGAGTGGCAGGTAGGACAGACATTAAAAAAATTTACACAGGTCTACAGTGATTTTGATGGTTGCAAGCTGTTTGTTTATTTGTATATTTTGTTTGCATGTTTTTGCTCTATTACGTCATTTTTTTGTTAAAATGTTATTTTATTAATATACATACCCATGACATGAATATGAATATGTTTGTTCCATAATAGGCATGAGTTTTAAATGAATTGATTTCTATGAAATTAAATGTGATTTGGCAACGCTGGATAATATTAGATTTCTTTGCAGTGCGACAGTTTGCGCAGAAGCGTCAATATACAGCGTTGTAATCTGTGTATGCGCAGTTTGTTTGCATTGGTCGTCGTGCTAATGTGTTCCCGACTATTATTTTCGTTGTTGCGTATTTCTAGTGTTCTATAAATATGGAAAGAAGACATTGTGTGAACAATTAAAAACTTTTGTTGTATCTGTATCTCTTCATACTGTTTGTTCCGTTTGCGTTGAAGCATTAAGAAACTGGCAAAAAGTAGAAATGTTTAAGCTTTGGCGTTCCTATGGTATGGCGACAGCCTAGGAATCAGTGATTATTATTTTTGTTCGTGTAATGTTCAAGGATTCAACAGAAAAAATAAGAAACAAATTGTGTATCCCCATCTTTGACCAGTTCCTTTCATCATCTAGATTGTAATATGAGTTTGAAAGTACATTTCCTGTTTTCACACCTGAACTATTTTCTTGAAAATTTTGGAGCAGTTAGCGAAGAGCAGGGAGAGAGGTTTCACCAGTACTTTAAGGAGGTTTCTGCTAGCAAGAAGATTTTACTCAAAAAAGTCTGAGTAAAGTTTTTCCTACTTTGTTTAACTAGGATTCCACCTTTTTACTTACTAAAAAAACAAATTTATTTCAGAAATATTGTTTTTCTTTCTTTTCATATTTGCAAAAAAAAACCTTACGTGATTTTTGTAGACCTGTGTTAATTATATAGGTATAGCTTTAAACACGCTTTGAAAAAAAGCAAATAACGCTGCTGAATTTTTCAACCAACTTTCTTCAAGGAGGAAAGAAAAAATCGGGAGTTTGTTTTATTTTTATTAATTATACTACCGTGGTAAAAAATAATAAAATCGGAAATACATTATCATACATATTGATATCCTAATGAAACTAGCATGCATTCGACAACTAAATGTACATTCATGGAACAAATATCGCATAATAAATATAAATACAGCCGTAGATTCGCAGAGAGCCATATTGTTGTGAAAATAAGTGATCCCCATCCAGCTACCCTACAAGCGGGGCGGATCCGTACGGATTACGCCCCAATCAAAAGAAACAATAAGACCGCTTCAATTTAGAATACATAGTTTACAATTTTTTCTCTTTAATTACAGTGGTTGCTGTTATTTCAACGGCTCATTTTACAGGTTATTTTTACACATGTATTATACAGTTTGCGTGAAATAATAACCGAAACGGAATTTACAATTTACAACTTGTTTAGTAACTTTACATCAGTCTGCCATCTCAGAGTTAAAAATTGGTTTCCTCGTTAAAAGTACCTTATTTGTGTCCCCGCCGCTCTATTTTCGTTTCCGTCTTTATTTTATATCCGGAAAGGAACTTTGGCGTAGAAAAATAGTTTTGCCACCACGGTGGAAAAAATTTTGTACTTACCTATTTCAGGTCAAATTTTGCATGTACCGTAACCAAAAACATTTTACTACGCCATGTTCCACAAATCAATTTAAATGTAACGCAATTAACTACGATATACTATACATTACAATAATTTTGGGAGTTTTTTTTGTTGATTTGTTAAATATAGAAAGAAAAATGTATATACACAAGGGGTAGTGCGTCACCGTGTGGTAATAGATTTTTCCAATATCTTGCTTTGGCATACTGAAAAACGTCCCCTTTATTGAAATAAATTGAAAATGCTTGGTCTTCATGTGCGGGAAGTCAGGTTTTCAAGCTCCCAAAATTAACTGGTTACGAAGCAAAAGAAATATCCATTCCATCAATGCAATTAAGAAAATTTAAATCTTACCATCACACGAGGTACTAACATTTAGATTAAAAAAAAAAGATTCACATAGGCAACTAAAAGAAAGTTGCACATTTAAATTCAGCATTCTAAAAGGAAAACCATTTTTTCGCGATTTTTCCGCTTCCAAGAAACTCTTCACCTTTGCTCAACAGATTCATTAGTGTTTGTTCAGGTGCAAATGTGCTCATAACTATTTGACAAGTTTCTTCAGTCTAGCTTCTAGTAATTTTGCTTAACAGGAAAAAATCAAAGTTTGCTGACAAATCCTCTGACAGAAGCGGCGTACCAGAAAAAATCCAAAAAAAAATTGGAAAAATATAACACCAAGCAGTCTTTCTCAAACAAGTGTACACATAAGTTACCTACTCAAAAGTTGAAGTGGCTGGTTTGAAAATTGTTATTTTAACAAAACTATATTACATATAATACAAAAATCGGTACCACAGTATGTACACATATCGGAGATGACTGGCTAATGAGAAGTTCAGAGTCAATTTTTTTTCGCTCTTTTTCTTTTGACCCTGTATCTGTAACTTTACGGCAAATCGCGAATCCCGCTGGTTAGCTGTAGAATATCCATTAATTACCACATTCCTTCACCACTTCATCAATTAAATTTAAATTGGGAATACTGGCCTCTGCCTGCCAACATCAAAATCTATATGGAGGGAGAGCTTTTGTAAAAAGTTGGTCAAAGTAAAAAGGGCAAAAATTAACTGAACTTTTACGTAATGCTCGGGTAAGTAGGTGAATATGAATTGACAGTGTGACTAACTAAAAACTAAATGTTTTTATTTAAATATTTATATGAAAAGGTGAAATTATAAAGGACTGGTCATAATGCAAAAAAAAGTATAAATATTACCTTAAATGCAATAATTAATTAAATATAAACCGGCATAATATATATATATATAATAAATGGAATTCCATGAGAAAGGAAACCTGTACAATTATTACAATTAACACTTTACACAATATTATATAAATTCAATACTTTTTTTGTTTAATAATCGTGCCATCAAATTCTACAATTACATTAAAATTCTTCTACGTCAATAATAACGTTAGTTAACTTGATTAAATTCATCTAGGGTTATTACAAGAAAATTTTCATCAATTTTTTATATATAACACGAGACAATTTTCCCAACCAAGATCTTTCACCCCTCATCCGTCCTTTTGAATTCTCTTAATTCCAAAAAAATACTTCACTATTTACAAAGAAAATTATAATAATGTTACAAATTATACAGATTTCTTTACAAATAATATTTTCGGTCATATCTCTTCTTTTTTTAAAATTAATATTTACATCAATGTTCAATTCTCTTATTTTACAATTTTTTCATACAGTCGGAAAGAAAACACGTGGGTCTTCGCATCTATTTTTAAAAAATGGATATTTTACAAATGGCGGCGAACTAAACTTCAGTTTTACACAATTACCGCTTAAAATTAATACAAAAAATGAACAATTTACAAGGGGAATTCTATTTTACAAATAAATTATATCTAATATAAAATTTCAGCCTTTTCGTAACAACCGACGCAATTTCTAATATTTTCAAGTCAATTTTTCTTTCTAGAATATTTGACTGAAGCTTCAAGACTGACAAGGTAACCGAACTAGCGGAAGGTCAAAACTTCTTAAATTCCTTAACTCTTGTGAATAAAACATTGAATTTTATTTTAAACAATAATAAGTTTCCAGACTCTTTCCAAGTCTTCAGCAAAACGTCTAAAGCTGTAGGAGTTTTAAAAGCAATATTTTTTAAAACAAATCGCACATGTAAAAAAGCAACAGGTTCTAGGTTACCTTTGTCCGAAAACTAAAGACATTTTGCACTAATACGAAACAAAATGTAATTTGTTCAGTTTTCTTCTAAATAAAATTATTACTTTTTTTTTAAATGGTAAATAAATGTGAATTACATTAGAAATTGGCCGCATATATATTATAAAATTTTCCTATCCGACTAAAAAATTCGCAAGCGCATGTGAAGTATTCGTTAAAAATTAACAGAACTCGACCTCTCCCATTATAACCTTTCTCTAAATAACCTCTATTTTTTAAGCTAAATAAGCTAAACTACAATAAATGCGACCTTTATGTATGTCTGTGTGTGTATGTGCGGGTGCCGCGCAAAGACCAAATACAAATATCTAGTCGTCCGTACGCGAAAAATATTGTTAACAAAAATTGGGCGGGTAGGGTGCCTCCTGCACAACTGCTCCTGAAATTCTGTGGGATAAGGATAAATAAAACTCCACAAAAAGCGATTACGAAAAATGTCAGCACTCTTAAACAAAAAAATGGGCAAATCTTGAACTGCCAATTTTGGTTATTTGTTGTCGTTTTTTTTCCCGAAATCTGGTTTGTCTTCTTTTTGGATGATGGTCAAAATAATCCTATTACTTTTCCTGAGGTTTTTTATCACAATTTTAAATAGGTACCGACACGAAAAGAGTGCAAGGGTGTGTGCGGAAAGATAAAAAAGGGGGACACTTAAATTTTTTTGAACATTAATAATTTGTAGAGAGTAGTACTAGGTTAAAAAACGTTTATATGTACAAGTTTTTTACGAGTAAACTATAATTATAAGGTTGCTCCTCTAAAAGATGTAATTTTTAATTTTTCTTCTGTTTTGAGATTCGACGCGATACAAATCCAGCTGAAAAGCTTTATGCCAAAAATTAAACTAAAATTCTTTAACTTATTTAAAAAAAGCACTCTAAAGTAAGTGCCTATCTAACCAAGTATGTTGCAATTAAAAAGTATCTTCTGAAAGTTATCTATAAAATTCCCAATAAAAATTTCTTTTTCAAACTTTGAAATCTATGTCAACCAAATTCAGTTTTTTTCTATATCTGTGATCCAATCTAAATAAAAAAAAGTGATGGGATGTACCACTTAATGGCAGAAAAATGACATAAATTACAGCTATAATACAGAAAACGCATTTTATGTGTACACGACAATTTCTAACCTAACTGTTAATTACTCTTAAAAATTATAGTGAACCATCATAGAAATTAAAAAAATCAAACCGAAAAAAAAAACTCAAAATTAAAAAAAATACTGGAAATGCGCATATGGAGGTCAGTGCGGGTGGACCTTAAAGAGAAAAAAAAACTTAAAACTGAATATTATGAGAGATCTTCAACAAATAAGTTTTCCATTCAATATTGCCCCTATAACTAAGCTCTTCCTTAGATCAGATCTCTCAAATATCTACTAAATACGTAATATTAAAGTTTTGTATCACTAAAAATAAAATTCGCACTGACCGAAATAAACTGCGCTCGGCCCTTGCCAAAGCTGTAATTTAGAGAACTCCGTTGGTTGGAGGCCCGATAGGGCCTAACTCCCCTCCGATGGAGCCAATGGAGCCCGGTGCCTTCATAAAATACTTCTCAAGTTTGGCAATGATGTGCTTGCCGTAGGTGTACTTGCGTAAGGAGTTCAGATGTGGACGAATCTTGTGCATGAGAACCTTACGTTGAGTGGGTTCACTAACATCAATCATCTTCTGGACCACATAGTTGGCGTACTGATCTTTCATCATCACGTGCAACGCGCTAAGATGAAAAAGTAAGGTATAAATTGAGGAAAATTTAAAGAAAAAATGAATCAATTTTATTAAACTGGAACCTGCGGCGCGCTGAAGTTGCTGTTATAAATGGGTTACCAAAACGCGAAAAATTGTTTCAATTGTGATAGTATGATGCAACTTTCCAATATGTACTGATGATGCTATTTGGTTAACATGGCTTGTTAACGTTGTATTAAATCGTGAATATACACTTAATATTTATATAATTTCTTAGCTTAACATTTGTTAAACACTTGCAAGATACTAACATTGTCAGAAGTAAATCTAGAATAAGAAGATTATCAAAGTTTAAGCAAAGGTATATATTCAAAACAAAAGGTCTTAGACTTATTGGTTCTAATATCCCAATTTTCTCTATTTTCTATCTAGTGAGGTTCTAACCAATATCTTATTTCTTTTTTTTTAAACCAACGTTTAGTTTGTGTTTACTGTTTTTTGTTTTTGCTATTATTACATTGCTGTTTTAAGCGTATATTCCACGTTCCTAGAGTAATAAAAATTTATGGTAATCGATACTATTACCATAAAACTCTCAACCCAAAATATTAAACAAACAATTGTTACCGCGTGTAAATGTTGGGAACGTTTTTGAACTGGACCAATAAATAAATAAAAAAACATTCTAAAGCCACCGCCACATGGATACCATAAAATAAACAGTCTGCTTTTTGTAACAACAAAACTGTAATTTGAAAAAATATTAAAGGAATACTCACTTATCATTAAAACCGCACACTTCTTCAATCAGCAGAGCCCTCTCTGCTCTGGTGGCGTGTGTTACACATTTTTCAACGACGTTACTCGCAAATTTGTGTTGACTGAGAACCAGCACTTTGCCTCTAACATTATTGATGAGCTGCGATTTATCTTCCGGTTTTCCGTGCTCTAAAAATAAAAGAACAATTAAAACTGCCGAAGGGAATGTGCCACGTTTAGATCTACCGAGAACGTGTTGAATTACGTAGTTGCCAAATTGATCTTGAATCAACTGATCTGTGTGTTGGTGAAGCTCTGCCAAAATCGGGGAGGTTTGTTCTGGAGTGCAGTGTTCAAGGATGCGCTGAATGACACGGCATCCATAAGGATGTGTGGAGAGTGTGTATACTTGTCCAGAGAACGATTGAATAATAAACTAAAAATATCAATCGCATCTTAGCATTTCCCCATGAATCCCCAAAAACTGCGAACTCACCTGCAGAGCATTGGGATCCACACACTCTATGCATTTCTGCACTACGTGATTGCCATTTTGATCTTTTACGCATTTTAGAACATGCCCGTCCAGTTCTCGGACAATTTCTTGTTGCTGTTCTGGAGGAATGGACTCGAGCGCTTTCTGAATCACTCGGCAACCATACATCTGAAGCGCCAAGGGCAAAACGTGACCTCTAACCTTTTGAGCCAGGGTAGTTTTTTGTTCGGGGGTCCCGAATTCGAAAAATTTCTGTATAACATAGTTGCCAAAAACGTCAGTCATCAAGTTGTACGCGGCAGACAAAATTTCATTAAACACCATTTGCTTTTCCGCTGCAGTCGCTCTTTCCAGCTTCTGTTGAATGAATCTCGAGCCGTGTTGATCTTGAGAAAATTCTACAATGTGATTTGCAAGATCCCGTAACTGCAGATTCGGATATCTATTGTTTCTGAAATCTTCCAATAATCGTGATCTGCCCTGGGGCGTCTTGTCTAGAGCACTGGGCACTGTGGTCAGAGAAGAGTTGATTTTGGTGAACAGGGAACTTGTCGAACCGAACATTGTCGTGGCATTAAGCCCGGCAGCTACGGAATTGCGATATTTAGCTTCCGCTCCTGGAGCCGCCGAAAGAACCTGAAAGGAAATGGGATCAACCCATTTATAACCACTGTCGTTAAAGATAAGCCTGGATATTTCCAGTTCAGCTGTTGATTTGAAGTTGGCGCCATTGTTTTTTTTTATTAAACAATAAAGACCTCGATATATCTATTTTATTCTAGGTTATTTAGTTATGCATAAAAAAACTCAGCCAAGATGCGCAGTATACCGCAAGAAACTACATCTTTTTGTACATTGCCCTTCATTTAAATTATTTTATTAACGTACAATTTTGTCTTAAGTTAGGTTTTTTTATATTTATGTAAATATGCCAAATGTTAAACGTTGTCTAGAAAAAAATACCCCAAATAATAAAAATTTGTTCCAGGGCCAAGATATAAGTGAAACTTATGTTGTAAAATTCTTACCCGCGAATTGACAAGTCCGCCTAACTGCAACGGTGCTGGGGGAGGTGTTAGACTGCCGGCTAGCGGGCTAGGGCTGTTGCCGATATTGTACGACGTCGTCCATTTCTGCCTGTAGTCTAAAGACGGAGAAAACGCTGAAGTGTTTCTATCAAAAGAGTCTCTGCGCCCCGTTGTTGTTGTATTTAATCCCAAGCCTATAAATATTTTAACATTAATTATAGGCTCTTGATCAAAAGGCGCAGAATCTTTTGTTTTGTTTTTCAGTGTGTACTAAAAATACAATAAAAAAAAATTGTAACCTCTTTTTCCGAAAGCAGCACATATAGCAGCAGTCATAAACATCACATAACTTTTTTTTTAAATTCGGCATCGCAAGCAGAGAAATATCCGAACCAAGAAGTATTCATGGGAACCCCAACAAGCAGGCTCTTAGAAACGTTTGATATCAGAACCAAAAAATTATTTAATATATTCTGGACTAAATGACTCCTTTCCGGTTGTAATGTCGAATGATAATAAGGACTAGCTACATGAAGAATAGACATGTTTTATAATTAATAATGATGAAAGAAAACTAAGCTTAATTTAAATTTAAATGATTTAATGATTTTTTTCTACTCCCTTCTGTAAACTACCCGATCTATTGTGCGGGTGCGAGTTTGGTTTCCCACGGCTGCGAGCTACTTCCAACATTTCCGGGGTATTAAACACAGGGGTTTAACAACAATTGAATTTTGAAGTTTTTCAATTCTGAAGGTCATATCAGTAATTGTATTTGTGTTGTTTTGCAAAAATGAACACAAAAACTAACGATCGTAGAAAAAGTATAGTTCGGAACACGTCTCGTAAGCCTTTTAAGTCACTCGTTTATTGAGTACTCGCTAAGCTGCGCTCCGCTAGTGCCAAATAAACTCTTGACTTAAATATCGTTTACTACACTTGTTCCACAACATACTATTGGCGTATTAATGACTTTTTTGATGGCGATAATCGAATGACATATCAAAATAAGACCATTCAGACTTGGTTTACTAAAAGACCATTAAATATCTTCTCTATATATTTTTTGGGTAAAAATGGAAATAAATCTACTAGGAAGGAATTAGTAAAGTCAATGAGTTTGGTTTTTCCAAAATATTTAACACTGGCACATTTTATTACTATGCGTACACATTTTGAGATTTTATTCACGTGTTCTGTTCGATTTTCTCTTATTGTCTGTGATCATGCATTGGGATTTTTTAAATTTTTGACGTTTCTTACTTGCGACTTGCGAGTTGATGCGTTTTAAATTATTAAATAGTCACGCGTGAAATAAACTGTTTCGATCATGCATCAGTTATAAGAAAAAGGTAAGAAATTCGAGCATAAGAAGGAAGTAATGACGTGTTTCATATTATAACTTGATTGGCTAGATCCAAATTAAGTATAATAGATAAAAACGCCCCAAGCCACTGATTCTCCCTTCGTATCAACGAAATAATAATACCTCTTGAATAACAAAAACCCGATTAATGAGTGGAACTGAAACATGTTTGCAAGTAGTTCTAGTATCTAAACCTCGAAAACTCGAAAATCCGGCCCGCCAGTGTCATCAATTCAGTCCACTTTGAATAATAGATTTCGTCAACTGTCACGGTCGAATCAATACACAAAATATTAATTGTGGTAATAGAACCAGCAAATTTAGCAAGCTTATGCTTCGCCAGAGCGCGTGCTCGTCGACTAGTGTAGGAATTATAGTTAAAGGGGGAAAGATTGATATACATTTGGTCCTTGGAAGTTACTGGAGTAAACAGAATGGTCCTAAGGCTGGAAAATTTAGAGACTTCCACTTTGGACCAAATAAGCTTTTGATGTAATTTTTTAGCGAATTAACAAAGTTTAATAAACAAACTATAATAACAAAAAATCCAAAAAATATATCGATTTCGCTCGATATGAAAAATGAACATAATTCCAGTGTGAGCCTGAAGGAAATCTAAAAAAATTCAGCACGGGTCGGCGTGGTAAAATAACGATATATGCATGTGTCGAAATTTAAACAAACAGGCAGTAGTAACTTTCAGTTTGCACATTGCCCACGAAAATTTACGTATAATATCCACCTAAACCCGGCCGTATTTAAGATATTTAATACTTCTCTGTGCAATATCTGAGAATTTTTCCTTCGTAATTTCAATTAAGTAATTTTATTGGCAGAAAAAATTTTCGTTCTTACAAATTTAGTTTGTAACTTAGATACATGCTGATGAAAAAAAAACAATTAAATCAAATTAAAAAACCGGTAAAATTACGGTAACTTGTATGATTTTTTCTAAATTTTGTCACTGGGACACATTGTTGGTACTTTTTTCTCTTGGGTGAAACAATGAACCAAAATGTAATGTGCATTTTCATCGAAATTTAATTATTGTGGATTTTATTTAAATACGATCGCTATGGTCGCAAATTTACCCAAAGGTAAAAATGAGAAATGCGCTAACGGGCTCGAAGGTTTATAAAATAACCAATTATGCTCATAAACTTGTGCAGCTAACGCAAGATTCAAAGAGTAAAAGTTAATATCTTAACACGTTGTCTTGACTTCCTTTGTCTATTGTATGTAAGACCCTAATAGGCTAAGTGTAGATTCAGTACTATCTTTTTCTCGATTCACTATGCAGCTAATGGCTCTAGAAGTCGATACTGAAATTATAATCCTAACTAACTTTGCTTTAATTATATTAAATTATATCACACCGTTTCAGATGCGCTAATTTACAAGACAATACGCCTCCAAAAATTTGTGACATCCAAATATTTATTTAATAACAAGTAGCACATGCATGCAATGTTAAAGCGGTGTGAGAGGTTATGTATGTGTCCCCTACCTGTGTGCAACGATGTAGTGGTAGCAGAGGAGCCGATGTTGCCCAACGAAGAGCTGCCGAAGGGCGCGGAAGGGGGCGCCGCGTGCAGCGTCGGGAAGAGACCCGAGCCCACGCCCTGTGCCACACCTGCGGGCCCAACGGTGTTAGTGTTTAGTGCTATGACGAAAATTGGGGTAGTCGATGAAAATATGTTAGAAGAGCGAGGCAATGTACAACTTTAAACCGAAGAGGAAAATACCAAACGTTAACGTTAAAAAAACATATACAAGGTTATTCACGCTGACCATTGTATGTTGCATGTTGACCACTACAATATATTTTATTTATTCAGTAATTCTAAACGGAAGTTTCCCCATACCTTATAACATATTTGTTTCTTCGTTGAACATAAGTCTCTGTTTTTATTTTTTAAAATACTTTAGACTCATATTTAGTAATAACAAACTTACAGGATGCCAAAATGTTGAATCTAATAAAGTAAGAGATTTACAAGGCATTTAAAAAATTAGTCTGGGGTTGCTGGAAAATATGATTCATAATAAATTGGTCGGTAATGTGTATATATTTTTGGACGCATTTTTTACCTGTTTTGTTTCTGTTTTTGGGTCTTCATTTTGAATTAACAGCATCAAAAGAAATATCAATTAATCACGATCTATAACACAATGATAAAAAAAAGTAACTGGCAACACCAGACTACAGAATTAGTACAACCCATAGGTTGTTAGTAGGTTATTAGGAAGTTAAAAATTGGTTTTAACATACCTCGAGTATGAAATATGGCGTAAATATTCTTATAATTTGCTGTAAATTTCTATGACAAATTCAAACGATGTATTTAAAAAATGTTAAGATTTTGGTATAATAGCATTAGAAGACAACGTTTGTCAGTTATTACCACTTCAATTTCGATATCGAGGTTTATGAAACTTTTTAAAAGTGTATTTTTCAGTAATATATTTTTGTCTGCCATGTACATTATTTTACTAATATTTAAATTTTACAAAAATTTTTATAAACTTTATTATAAACATTAGAAAGCATTTACTGGAATAGAGAAACGCAGTTAATAAACCAAAACGAATGGTTTCGCGGTTTGTTTCCATAATAAGATGATTCGCGTTCAAACATAACTAATCTCGACATAACAATTACAATAGCGAAGGGTAAAACGCGAACAATAGCGCGTACTGTGGTCTCGAGTAATTTTCGGAACAATGCTTCATTATGGTTTTGAACGAGAAAATATCTGGGAGAATTTCATATACGAAAACATATATAATTCTCTCGTTCAAAAGAAATGTTAGACCCACAGTCTGAAGGAAATGTTATAACTTAACAACTGATTTTTGAAAGGTGGCATCGCGTAGAAAATTCCCAATTACAAGATACTACACCATCGTCACATAACAAATTGACATAAAATAGTCACTTAATCTTAAAAGTGCCAATTATGCAGCCTCTCTGATTCCATGAAGGTGAATGAAAAATCTGTCCAGGGGTAAAATTGCATTGCACCTTATGATAGCGCAGTTCCGTCTATTGAAAAAGTAATCCTTACTGTATTCTGGAGTTGCCAAGGGATTGTCATTATAGACTATCTGGCGAAAGACTTGTCAAAAACGGACTGAAAACTTGCATAAGCGTCCGTTATTGCAAGACCACACACCAAAAGAGAAACGAAGGATGTTTTGAACGATTTACGATGGGAATTGCTTACACACACCCCTTATTCCACCGATCTTGTAGTGATTGTCATCAGCTGCTCCCAGATTTTAAAAGTTTAACTAACGTTAAACGTCCCATTAATTCGATTGAAGAGACACCGAAAAAGTTCTTTGAGGACGGTGCAAAAAAAAAATAGATTTATCGTTTGGGATAAAAAGTATTCCGTGAAAATTTCGCACTAGCAGATTTTAACAATCAAAATGGATTTTTTTGGCAGATTGTCAAGACGCAATGCATATATCGTAAACCTCCCTACCTATAAGCACCTACCTCCAAGATTAATAAGGGGAAATATCTTTGCTTAACAGCTATAATAAAAGTGGTGGTGTTTTTTATTTTCAGACGGATATGGCGTCTGATAATCGTACCGAATAATGGAAGCAATTTTAACGAAGATTAAGAAAATTATAAAAATTATAGCTAAATTCACAGAGCTGTGTAAACATCCCTCGCATATTGTCTGTGCTAGACTATAAAAAAAATTCTTTCCATGTCGCAATATTTCTAAAGCTAGTTTCAGATAGCTTTTTGTTTTTGTTGCAGATTTACCAATAGGAGAATATTTACAAAAGGGACACCCTTACCCCATGCCTTTACCCCTTCCAAAAATCTAAAAGGGCCAAACCGGACCGCCCTAAACCCAATGTAAAATTTACAAAATTTACATAACATTTGCGCGTGACGTATATACAAAACTTGAAATCAAACTCACCTCCGAGGGTCGTCCCGTTAACGGAGGTCGAAACGCCTGCCGCGGTGCCGTACAGACCCTGCGCGGCGGCAGCTGCACCGGCTGCGCCGTAAAGCGACGCGGCCGCGGCAGCGGCTGCCGCCGTTTGCCCGCGCCCTTGCGCCGCCTGCGGAGGCGGTTGTACGAGCACTGGCGCGGGGCTAACGAGACGCATCGGGGTGCCGTTACGCATTGCGGCGGCCGCGGCTGCCCCCTGCGCCATGAGAATTGGCGTCGCGCTCTGGTCGTAATAAGCGGCGGCGGGGACGATGTATCCGCCGGCTGGCACTCCCGGCTGCAACGAGAATAATTATACAATATGTACAGAGCGGATGCTGAAAATATAAACAGGGTGCTAATATTTGCTGTATACAAGACGATTATTCATGTTCAGTGCAGTATTAAAAAAAGGCAATCTTCCAAGGTTTGTTAGTTTTGGCTAGAAAATATCAATTCACACTTATTTTCAACGGCTTTCTTGTTATTTCTTATTTTAAATCAAACCCCAAAGTTCTTTCTAATTAGTATTGATTTTGATGAATTTTGACATGCTCTTAGTTTTATTTCCTTCAAAAGTGGTAAGAAACACTGAAACTGGCCATCTAGATCAGCCCATTTATAGCCCACGGAGTTTCCACTGCGTGGCTGTATGAAAGAATTAGTATAGTCTTTTTAGGCTTATACAAAATAGAGATAAATTATTCAATTGCGTTGACAATGATTTTACTACTTTACTACTAAATCCCAGACGCCCATCAAACGTAAATAATACTAAACTATTAAGTTTTTGATCAAACATGTTATAGGGAAGCAATTACTAATAAGTGTTTACCTGCATTTTGCAATTCTTGTTGAACACCCTATATTGAATTATAGAATCGAAACTTAAACAAAATTTTACCTACAAAAGAGTGCAGAGTAATGAATAATAATAATAATAAATTGCAAATTGCATCTAGATCCGCTCAGTTGTTTGTTGGCATTTATGATCATTTACCAAATTTATTTCTCTGATACATGCCTGTCAAACAGGTTTTCAGGTTACCACGATACCAGAAGAATACCTATCACGTGGACATAAATTGAGAAGTTTTTAATAGTGTAGCACTTTATTTCCAACAGGAAAAATGACCCAATTCCAGAAAATATTAAATATAAATTATACAATATATATACACGGCGACGTAAAAACCAATTCTATAATTAAAAAAAAAGCAAAGGAGAAAAAAAAAGATACTTGTCAGTAGTGATACCTACACCAATCGAAGTTGCCGAAGTATCGCCTGGAGATCATCATAATATTAAATTATTATTATTAAATTACAGTGCGATGATAGTTTGTTGGAGGTAATACACATATTGTAAATAGGGTTTTGAAGTTGATTGATGTCTCCCTTCCAACCGCGGCGCACGAAAACGTAATTGTTCCAGAACAAACGGACAATTGACTCCGTAATGAACTAACTTGTAGAGAAATGAAACAGATTGCACGTCTCAGATCATGATCAACTCCCCTATCAGGATAGGAACCTTCGTCCCTGAACAATAAATACTTCAGTAACCTTCTCTGCACACTTAACACACTTAACAGTAGCTGAGCTATAAAAATGCATGCAATTTTTACTAAGAATCCTAAAATTTGCATTGCAGTGGAAACCATTTTAGTAATGAGGGGTACAAAAGAGAACGTCTGCTCAAATAAAATCCCAAGATCCATTACAGTGGCGAATCTAGTCAGGATAGTACCATCCATATTGTAATTAAAGACCATAGGAGTTTTGTGCGCGCGCCGAGGATGATACAGCAGAAAATTGTAGTGTAACTAACTGTGTTGCGCACACCATTATCACCAATATCATTGCGACCTAAATCTCATAGAACTTAATTTTTGAAAAAACTTCCACAAGCTACTGTAAGACCTCTTACAAATTATCTGGATTCGTCCTGCGTCGAAACCTCAAGTTCGATTTATCAACAAACGACGCAGGAGGAATCCAAAAGATTTATGAAAAGTAGTATACAAATTTCGTTGAAAAATTAACAAGGCTTTATGGGGAGGACATCAAGTGCAGAAGCAGATAGTTAGGAGATCACAGACTGAAACTGGTATGATTACTCTGTACACTGACGTCTTTGTTACGTTGTAGAGACCATATCGACCACATCGTTATTCCTAATTTTCTTAAAATATCCCATCATATCAAAACCTCATCTTCTAATAAAATTCTTCGTAAATCTAGTTTTACTTTAAGTCAAGAAATAATTCATCATATCCGTAAAGAAATAGTCCAAGTGAATAAGACTCTTCCGTTTATCTTTTAAATATGATTTACGGCAAAGTTGAAAATTACATTGAGTTTTTACCGAGAATCGCTTTCAAGAATTTGAAAAACTTATCTCAACGTAAATGAAACCCGCAAATTTTATGTACGTAACAAACAGCTAATGAAATTCGATTTCAAATAGCAAAAAGAAACCTTTAAAAACCTAAACCTAATAACCCGCAGCTCTAAAACTTCTAAAATCCAATCCCGAAATAGTAATTGTAAAAGCAGATAAAACAAATGCTGCGGTGGTCAGGAACAGAACTCACTATCAGGAAAAAACTCAAGATATTCTTACAGACGGAACTTAAAATAGATCCTAAGTCATCTATGGAATGCAACCTTAAATCTGCTATTAAAGCTTTTGCATTTTTAGAATCCGTGAAAAAATCTGTCACCCCTCACGACTCTAAAATTTATCGTTTTTATGGACTCCCTAAGATTGACAAACCAAGATTACCCAGTTCGACCTATTATTAACACCATTGGTTTTGCAACATACTCTCTAGCAAAATACTTCTCTATATTAAAATCACTTACAGGAAAATTAATAGTTAATTCATTTCACTTCATTGAACAACTAAAAACCATTACTTTATATCCAAACGGCGTCACACTTTACTAAAGTCTACGTTGATGATACTTTAGGTTTCCCCCCATTTTCAGTTAAGCTCTAAAGAAGCCCACAGGATGATTGGCGAAACGTCGGTAAGTTCCATTTATCAGCAACCGACGCAGGAGAAATCCCGAAGATTTGTAATTAGTCCTATAGAACTTTTATGGGTGCAAGTTAAAAAATTTGTACCAAGGCACAACACGCTTATCAAAAGAAAAAACCTCAAGCCATTGATTGATCATGGCATCGAGGAAGTAGCACCAGAGAAAGAAGAGGAGAAAATTTGAGATTTTGACTACTTGATAGATAGGACCGTGGACCCGTCAAATATAAAAATATGAACGATTTTTTGCGATTTAATTTCTGTATGATGTATTTTTTGTTAAATATTTAATAAAAATAAGGGTATGTTCTTTTCATAGATATAAAAAAGTGACCAATTGCTTTTGAATGGGGTTATCCAAGGGTGGTCATTAACATACAATGCAACAAGATTATTACCTGAAATTTCGGAATTTAAATTCAGGTAAAATTGTGGTCCTTAATAGAAAATAATTTTATACCTACCTGTGTTTAATATTCTTTGGTTTGGTATACTACTTAGTTTAAGTTTATTAGTAATCATTCTTATTTCGTGGGTAACACAGATTGTGTTGAATCGTGTGCGAATTATGCAAAATATGTGCGAGTCTAGTGTATCTCCGGAGATGCTCCCGCCCAAATGCAGAAAACACATTTCTATTGAGACTAAGGAAGTTATAAACAATGTTTATTTGACTCTCATTGAACATGGAGCCAGCAAGCAAGCATCTTTAGAAGAAACGGCCACATTGACGAAAATTCGAACATCAACTGTATGGAAAATTGTGAATAATCTCATTTCAGCGAGGAAAAAAAAAAGCGATGCTGACATTTTCTCGAGTGTAGATGAAAGTGATCAACATATAATACGGCGTAAAATTTACCAGTTATACGATGAACAAAGCGTGCCTACATTAGATATCTTAATTAGGAGGCTTGAAAAAGAAGAAACCGGTGTTAAATGTGGCAGAACTATCTTATGGGTTTTAGATTTAAAAAAATTGACAAAAGGCAAGTTTTAATGGAATCCTTTAGAACTCGGAAATGGCGACTGGAATATCTAGAAAAAATTAGGATTTACTGAGAACAACAAAGGCCAATTATTTACTTGGATGAAACCTGGTTCGACACTTATGATACCCCGGAAAAGGGTTGGCTTGATTAAACTGATAAGTGTAAAACAAACGCGCCATCAAGAAGAGGTAAAAGAATAACTATTTTGCATACTGGGTCTAAAGATGGTTGGATTCCAAATGAACTTTCTCTGTCTGTGAAAAATATTAAAGATTCTTCTCTGGATTACCAGCAAGACACCACCGCTGATTTATTTGAAAGTTGGTTTAAAAACAAACTAGTTCCAAACATTCCTCCTAATAGCGTAATTGTAATGGACAATGCAAGTTATCACAGTAGACAGTTGGCTAAAACCCCTTCCTCATGTGACACAAAAGCAACAATCCAAAACGACATGTATAATAACGACATTTATTTTCACGAAGATTATATCAAAAAGCAATTAATTGAGGTTCTACAAAGCTTGAACCTACAAAAGGAATACCTTTGTGATAATTATGCAAAAAATCTAGGGCATACAGTTTTAAGGCTTCCACCTTACCACTGTATATTTAAACCCATTGAACATGTTTGGCAGCAACTGAAATCTGCCATTCGTCGTAACAATGTTTTTCCCCGTGTTAACAATGTCCTCAAACTTATAGAAACCGAAGTTTTTAACATCCCTCCACAAAGTTGGGCAAATTCTATTAAACATATAGAAAAAGCAGAACAATCGTATATCCGTATTGGAAATAATATAGAACAAATAATAATTAGAACAGGGGATGATAGCGATAGTGATACTGATATATTATGTGAATAATTTTAAGTAACTTAAGTAGGTAATAAAAATAATTGGTAATTTTATTTTAGATTTAAACATAAATACATACATAAATAAATAAATATTGTTTAGTATCTTTCCTAACAAAACCGCAAATAATTAAATTCTAAGCAAAGTACGGACCTGTTCAGCCATATTTCATTCTTACAGCTTGCCCAGTTCGAAAATGGGTGCAAAGAAAAACCAACTAAAGCGACCAAGAGAAAATGCTGGAAATTACTTTTAAATTTTTAGAATATCCTGCGGCCAAGAAATCGCATTCTAGAATTTTAAATCCCGTTTTTTGAGAAATAATGTTATATGACTTATATTGCTGTAATTAGTTTCAAAAAACAGAAATATTCCATCATTATCATCTAAACTATTTTAATACGCCTCGAATCGCGGCAGCCAGAAGTTTCTTGCAATATTCCCTACAAGAAGACCAAAAGAATAATATCTGACACTATAAAAACAAGCTCAAGCGAAGAGTAAGGCAACTTTATATAGTAACTTTCACATGACATTCATTCACATTATTGGTGACTAAATTTTTCGTTTTGTTCCTCGTAAAGGCTAGAAGAACGCCATAATACACACAAACCTTTTGTATAACACTGAACAAAGGTTCTTCTATTTAGAACTAACGGATAAAAAATTCTTTTAATACAGCTGTATAAAATTAAGTGCGCCCTATAAAAGATATTATTAGAGGAACGAAGTCGGTTAACTTAGCTAAGTGGTATTGTGCTGCTTAAGATGACGAATGCAGAAAAACACTTGAATATTATTTTATATTTTATATAACTTGCTTTGCTATATGGACATTTCGTAACATTTTTCAATTTTTAAGTGTTGCAAATCTTCCTATAGAACATTGGTTTAACACACGAATGAAAATTAGATTTGGCATATCAAAAAAAAAAATTGAAAAGTTTTTCTGGATTCGCGAACTTAATTAGCATGATAAATACTATTAGGTTAATATAAGTGACATCGCAACTCTAAGAAAAAGATAGAAATAGTGTACACTCAATGTGGAACAGCACCTATATGAATTCAAATATTTAGTTAGTGCTATCGTTTTTATTTAATAGAAATACGAAAAACAACAAAAATAAATAGAAATGTCAAAGTTTACCTTAATGCGTAAAAAAAAGATTGTGATGTCATAACCAATTACATTTTTAATTATTTTGACATTTCTTTGTTGTTTTGATGCCATATGAAACGAGCATTTTAAGAGGAACATTTCTAACTAAACTTTATGGATCGAATTAAGGAACTCCTTTTAGTTCACATTTTGTTTTATAGATTTATTTATTCAAATATCTTACCTTGTTCCTCTTAAAATGCTGGCATCAAAACAACAAAGAAATATCAAAATATTTAAAAATGTAATTGGCTATGACATTACAATCTTTTTTTTGACGCTTTAAGGTATAAACAAATTTTGACATTTCTGTTTCTTTTTGATGTATTGTATGTATTGAGTATTATATTTTTAAAAGAAGTGGTACCATGTCGTTGCTATTTAAAAAATACCAAATATTGCCAACAAGTGACCTAATGTGGGCAGCTTTAAATTAAACAAGAATTTGTACTGGTGTTACCTTAAACCTCGAATATATCAAAAGGTAAGTAAAATTTAAATATAAGATAAATTACAAACTTAACTTATTTTTTATCGTAGAATGGATTTGAAAATCTTGAGATTTTGTTAACTGAGTTCGCCAAAACGGCACCACCTATTTGGGACACCCTGTATAAGCTGAGGCGCATCTGTCAAACTGATTAAGTAGTGTATAATCTCCATAGTCTGTGATTAAATTTTCATTGCAATACCTGTATCAGTAGCGTATGGGGCAATGTAAATATGAAAAAAAAACACACAACCTCAATTTCCGCCTAAACTACGCAAAATTCGAGTAGGAATTTCTTAAGTGACCTTTATTTTAACCAAGAATGCCAAAAAAGTTGATGTTATTAAATCTTCAGGAGAGTTAAAGAAGCTTTTGTACGAGACCTTTTTTCGTATCTCCTATGGGTTTCCAGATCGTGGAGTGGATCGTTTTATTTGGCACACGGTGTACAACCGGTTTATTTTCAAAAACATTTTTGCATTGACATTTTTGCCGTTACCCTCGAATAAATATCTCGTTTGTGAAACATCCAGCGAACGAAGTATGAATAATCCAAAAAACATTGCCGCGTATTTCAAGGTAATGTACGACCCTATTAACAACAGCACAAATAAATCTAAAGCTTTTATGGGCGACGCCGGGATATTAGGGCCCTTTCTCTTTAATAGAATTTTTTAAAACGTCCTGCCGTATATACGACAATAAAAATGGTGGACAAAGCTGGTATTTGATGTTTGTTTAGCTTTCTAAATTTGTTTAGTGATAGACGCGACTGCGAAAAAACGAAAAAGACTTAAAAAAAATTACAGTGATATGATGATGTGACGCAAGTCAAAATGTTATTTACAATTTTTATATTCAAAAACTGACGGCGGTTTGGCGATAATAACAAATAATTTACCCTAGTGTTGTTGAGCTAGGTTCTGGGGCTTAAATCCCTTTTTAAATCCCAATGGAAGTAACTTAGAAACATGTTAGGCTCCTAACAGGGACAACTTTTTATATAAGATACCTGAGGGACCATTGAGAGCTCATAATTAAATTATATGTGAATGAAAAGGAGGCCGGGACTTCATTGGTTCGGCGAACATTAAAAATGTATCGTAAAATAACGTATCTAAAAAACTGTGATTCAGGCCAAGTGCTCTTCTGAAAGAAGAAAAATAAAACTTTGGAGGTAAAGTCAAACAAAACAGAGCAACAGCGTGCAGAAACTAAGAAAAGAAAAAAAAGTTGTGTTCTAAATAACGTCATAAGCCCTTAGTAACCAATAAGGTGATATAAGTGCGAAATAAAAAAAGCAGCAAAAAATTCCTTATATTAACCTAGCTAAAATAAATCCACTGGCATCATTAAAAAATATATAATATATGGCTCGATATATACCATTAAAAGTAGGCGAAATAACCAATCGAAAATTTAGGAATTTGTGAAACAAGGGTTTTACACATTTATATCTCATGTTGATCATTTATGTTATCATATAGCTTCTAACAGCCCTTCGTAAATGCCATTATGCACTGATAATGATGGTAATTTATTTATTCATACTGTTTTATAATCACAAAAATATGAGTTACGTGATCTCGAGTCAAATTGTTCCTTAAGTCACGATGTGATAGTAGTCTGATAGGATTTCTACAGTAGGAGAGACATATTTATTATTTACTTTTGCGTTGCGTAAAGCATCTTCGCGATCATCATAAAATCAGGTCACTTTTTATAGATGTTCAGAAATTTTCTGGGTTTCGTTAACAAAACTACTATTAAATGATGGAATTCAAGTCACAAAAAAGCTCCAATTTTACCAAACAATCAAATATCCCAATAAAATGGTCGATTGTCCATAAATTACTAATCTAGGGCACATAAATCGCAATCGTCACTTACTTGCACTTGTTGCTGCGCTTCATTGGTTCCGTTGGGGGTGAGAGGGCGTCTCGCTCCGTTACTAGCCCCTTGCTGTAAAGCTGCCAAATTAGCAGGCGGAGCCGGGTACACCCACGGCCCCACGCCATAATACTGGGCAGGCACGCCGGCAGTTATCAAATATGGTTCGGCCTTAAAACGAAAATTATAAAATAGCTTTCTAATGTTTTGGCGAAATTGTCGCTGTGAACCCAAACGGGTTAACATAATACAATAGTAGAACGCATTAATGTCGAATTAAGATTAAATTACATAATTATTTACCATTTTTTCTGTATAGCCTAAACTTTCGATTGCCAATTAATTTAAATACACAAATCTATATTATCGACTGTTGACAAAATATCGAAGCGTTTATTTTCTGATTTTTGTGGCCAAGAGTAACAATATGATTGATCAGCCAAGTTTTTAGAGTAATTGACTAAAATATTCCAATTTTCATTACCTATTTTCAGTACAACTCCACAAACAGATAAGCTGTACCATTTTATTGCAAAAAAAGAAACAACATGGTAACCATGATAACAACTACATCAGCCATGTAGTATATGATCGCAGTTGACTTGGGGAGTTCCTCGACTCCAGTTATGTTTTCCAACGTTATTAAACAGAGCTTTCCTGGAGCAGAAGCTAGCTAGATCAACTATAAACTAATGGAAGACTATAAATGCGCCTACACTTTCTCGTTTCCATGGAAACCAAAAATTTCAATACATATTCTCTTTCTGGCGCCTCTACTGGACAAAGAATAAAAATAAATTTCTTGTCTAGCCGCTCTTGATTGTTGTTTTGCGGAAAAATTAACATTTTCATAATGTTGAAGGATAAATAATTCTTTAATGTTTGACAGCTGAGATAATTCTTTTCTAGCAATTTCAGGGAATTATCGAAAATCGAAAATAAACGTACTGAGATTGGACAGCAAAAAAAAAAAAACAACCAAAATTATTTGCTAAGTTCCCGGTAATATTTAAGCAGTGGTAATTGAAAAACGACTTACTTGCTGCGCATTGAGAACGTAAGGCCCAGGCTGGGTAAATGCGGCTGCAGCAGCCTGTTGTTGTTGCGCCGCGGCGAGATACTGTTGCTGCTGCTGTTGCTGCAGAAGCTGAAGCTGCGCGGCCGCACCGGGAGTGGCCGCTTGCGTTTGCTGAGATCGGAAAAGTTGCTGAAAAGCAAAAAAAAAACGTGAAAACCAAGAAAACAAACCATTCAATTATCGAAGCAAGGCAAAATAATTCAAACGGTCATAATCTGTTCAACACTTGGGTTTCGAAAGCTACAAGGATGGCTTGATATAGAAATTTATAGCACCTACTAAGAGTATAACAATAAATCCAGAGTACTACAGCGTTTACTATTACAGTCGCCGCATTTCCTTTGACAAAGCATTTCTGGAGATAATAAAATATTATTCCGAAAACTTCCTTAATTCAAGGCATTTTAAATTTCATTATTTATAAAATAAGACGTCGGAAAAGATTCTGAAAAGTCTCTTAAAAGTGTTTTAAGCATACCTTCTCGCATTTTATGTCGTTTTCAAATCAGGATGCCAGTCCAAATTATTATAATAAAGTACCAAATTTCAAAATCCTTTGCCAACAAAGATTTTTCTTGTTTTTTTATTTTATTTTTAACAAAATTATTTTTGTACCATCTGCTATATAAATAGCACTTTAGTCTATTAGGAAATAATGTAGTGTCTGGAAATTCCAATTTCCATGATATTTAACACCTAAAATTCTGTCAGAAATTAGTAGCCTTGTGTGCATTTCGCATGTTTAAACTTGTTTTGCCCAAAATTACTACTGAAATATTGTTGCTAGTGTCTTGCATTGTCTTAGCACAAATTTAAATAGAAACGAGGATAGAATAGTAGAACTGGTATAATACATAAAATATACCCTAACTATCCTGGTAGTTGACTCAAACGGCAATATTTATTTTTAACTTTCGCAATGAGACTCCAATTGAACTGTTTATGTGATATCATGTCAAGAGGTGATGGCAAACTAATTTGAAACATGTAAATTTTCTTTCGTTTATCTTACGGAATAGACTGTTTTAGTTAGTTGGTTCCTTTCTTTGATTTAGGAACTAGGATATATCATCATTATGTTTCAGTAGCGACTCAAAGATGGCAACGTCAACCCCGCTAACCCCTCCAGAACCACAGAAATGCCTTGCTCACACAAAGACGGGTGCGCTACAAATGGCAGCCAATGAAAACTTCCTGCTATTGATTGCTGCGCCATCAGAATAGTTAGTTATTAGTGCGCACTGAAACTATACTACATTTCACTGGTCCAGCAAATTTCCCTTGCATCCATTTTGCCAGTGTCATCAGGAGAACTTCGGAAAGATAATATCTAGTTCCTCTGTTATCCTAATATGAACAAGCCGGCTGAAACAACTCCGACTTTTTGTTTTATTTGCGTCGCTGCCGATGTCGCTATGGGCAAAACGTGTCAGGTGTCCTCATTTCCATTATCACGCCAATCATCTACGCCGTTTAAAATGCTACACAAATATTGTTACGGTTGCCGCACGCGGTTGCGATTGTGTTTATGTCTTCGTTTACACCGTCGACAGCCTGTATTAAGCGGGGCATTTGTTGAGCGGGCTGGAAGTTGCGATGTTCGCCTCACCATTGTCCTTCAGAATATGTACCGTGTAGGATGACGTACTTGTCATACATTCATATTTATATAATACGCATAATGGAATTGTTTCTAATTAAGGATCGAGGCGGCTACCATTTACATAATGCGCACATGAATAAGGCGAGATTTCTGATATTTTGTTAAAGGTGCCAGGCAAGTAATGCACTTATTTTCAGTACACAAAGGAGATAACTACTTCAGGGACAAATAAAAATCAAGATTTTTTTATTATAATTTCCGCTCACATCATCCAGGTTGGCGCAAATGCGAACAATATTCTAGCTTCTATTTCGTTCTTATTGCTTACTGATATGGTTTTCTGTTATACTAAACAATAAAGTCAAATATGAATGTAAAGAGGAGTGATTCGAACGCTATTTCGTCAAATGATTCGTAGTGTTTCTAGATACGGCAAATAAGTAACATATATCAATTTTTAAATTAATTAATTACATGGTATTTTAATTGGTTCGTAAATCTGTCTGATTTTAATTATATTGTTAAGGGGCTTCTGTGTTCAAATTTTATTTTTTAATTCACACCTATGTACTAAATAGACAAGTGGAAAATAATTGAATTATATTGATGGTTATGTCAGCAATTTTTAAAAATTTCAAATTGATTTGCTATAGTTATGTTATACGGAAAAATAATTAATTGGTACAATCCAATAATTTGAAATTTGCGCTCGGCTTATTTTGGATTGTTTATTCAATATGCAATGTCACTTAAATAGGTTATTAAAAACTGTGGTGAGCTACTTCGGGTGTTTCCGCTACTTTAGTCACTGGTTGAGGAGCAAGCGTATTTTAACCTTTCTCAGTTCAGATGGTCACGAGGCAGATCACGGAACGCGTTTATCAACATCGTCCCAAAATCGTTTAATAAACAATCGTTCTGCTCCGTCCGTCCGTGACCAAAGAGTTACTATTTACAAAACTTCTAGATTCCTCCTGCGTCGGTTCTTGTTGAAGTGGCGTAAAACAGTTTCAGTTAAACTCTGAAGAAGCCAAGAGGATGATTGGCGACAAGTCAGCAAGTTCAATTCAACAACAACTCACGCAGGAGGAATCCAGAAGTTTTGTAAATGGAATTAAAGCAGCCTGTGGATGTTTCTTTGAAAAATTGACCAAAGGGTTGTTTACAAAACTTGTTACATAATAGATTATTAAATTGCATAAAGTGCAGAAGTGGAATAATTAATTGCAGGTGCTATAATGGACAGAAACAAATAACGAACAAGGTTCGACCGAACCAGTTAATATAGAATAGCAACTTATTATCGAAGTTCGCGATATACCGTTTTTACAATCTTTTATGGTTTTGACTTCGGAATGCAATTTAGCCGACGAGAACTGTGCCGTGCGGACTGTTGTATTTTAAGAATAGGGAAATTTTCTTTGATTAAACTGTTATATTAATTCATATTATTAAGTTGTTTTATAAATCTTTCTAAAACAGTCCCTGCTTGTAGATAGCTCCATTTCAAGTCGAATTTGCCCATTAGATAGGTAGATTAGAAAGCAAGTTTAAAATGATTTCCAATTTAAAGATTTAACATAATGACTCTAAAATATTTTCCTCGGAAAGCAAATGTAGATAATTGATTTATAAAAGGATGTTTTCCCAGTTTGCTATTGGTTTATTTGTGGGTTGACTACCACGAAAACATGACAGCAGACAGAAATAGTTTCCTGAAAAATTGCTTCCCAAAATTCCACCAGTGTTGTGTTGAACAACGCCAGCTACCATTCTGTACAAGCGAAAATAAATCCCGAATTCATCATCCACTCAAGATCTCATTCAAAATGTTTTGCTTGAAAACGATATGTATTTTGAAAATTCCTACACAAAGAAGCAGTTTTTGGAAGTTCTTAAGACGGGAATGTTTGATAAGAAGTCTAATATGCACACCTTCCTCAATATAACTGGAATTTTAAATCCGATAGAACTGATATGGGGACGGCTGAAACTCAGTTCAAGAAGAAACAACAGCTCACCGAAATTTAGTTCGAGGGAATTGAATTAATGAGAAGTAAAGTTCGGAAAAATGTGTAGAAATGTAAACGAAAAAGAAAATGTTTACAGAAGTCGAATAGAGGGGGACGACTCCCGTGACGATAGTGTTTATTTCGATGTAGAATAACCTTTTTTATACAAATATCCTAACATTGTTTTATAGCTAAATCTACTCCTTCTGAGTAAGAATGGATTTTTCACTGCATAGACTAATAATAGGTAATCGAGGAATCTCACCGATGAAACTAGAAAAATCGGTCAGCTTTCAACATTTGTATGTACGTTCTGGAACGTCATTGTGGCATTGTAAAGCTATTTATTAAAGGTTAGTTAGAGAAACCCAAGAAAGGCAGGCCTGCGGTTAGCCCTTCATAAAAATTTACCAAAATTAAAAACCGGATTATGTAGTAAAAACGGTATATCGAACTATACCTGCATACCCCGTATCCATATCGTAATAAATCTTACATTAGTGCTATTTTTATGGCAACGTTTATGAGTGGCGGTGCGATTTTGGCAGTCGTTTCGGAAACGATCTGACGGGAGTAAAAGGACCGTTACAACTTTGTAAACCCTAATTGCTGAAAACTTTCGACCAACATTGGGTGTCGTTTCCCGGTCATTTCGTTTCAACAAAAGGTTCGACTCACCGTATATAAACGGATAGAGAGAAAAGCTCACCGTTATTTTTACTTCTATCAGAGAAGTACGATTCTAGGACATTTTCCGCTGCGATAAAGTGTAACGTGACCTCCATCTGTAATGGTCTTTTCTGGTAACATTGTAGCACACTTAAAACGATTGGCAAACATGTTTCAAAAGCACGTTGTTGACTCGGTCTGGTTATGCCGCAGTCGAATTTTACACGATGCCCGTACAAAATTTGTTGTATTGATGATACCCTATTTTATTCATTTACTCAAAAACGTAGGTGTTAAAAGTTATCATGGCAACATTATTAAAATATCACATCTGATCCACAGACAGATGTTGCTGAAATAATCATATTGACTGTTCAATGCTAAAGACCGCTAAATGTCAGCAATAATCTGTACATATACAGCGGTGAACTGACCAAATGAACAAAATAAACAGTTGAAACGCTTTGAATGCAGTTGGTATTTGACGGTCATTCGTTGGTAATAAGTTTAAATGTCAACATTTTAATTACTCATATGACAGGACGTTCTTGTGGCGTAAAATCAAACATTAAGATAACATAACTTTATTAAAATCTACGCTTTGTTAAATAATAATCTTAAATGGATAAGTACAAGGTGACGCTACATATGCAAAATTAATTTTCCTTTTTCTCAATTCCGCGATAATGTTAGATCACAAATTTAACAATTTCCCATTAATGGTTTTTATTTTGCTTTTAGTGTGAATATTTATGATTCCAAAGTAAGTGTCCAAATAAATAATAGAAAAATGATTTCTTAAAATCTTAGTAATATATTTACGACCCAAGTGCGTTGGAATCGAA